TACAAGCAGAATCAATTATGAGAACCCATTCTCTAAGGCTACAAATTGAACACGCTAAAGAGCGTGCATTAAAAACAGAGGTAGAGTGTGAGCAGTGTGCAGGCTGCTGTACCTTTTCTCTGGTGACTCATACTCGGAAACGGGACATGGGTGTAAATATTTCCAGAGCATAACTGGCATTTGATAAAACTTACAGAGTTATATGTTACAATAGATAAGCTCTTACGGATAAAGAGAGTACTCTAGAGCAGTGCTGATTGAGGAACTTTGAAGCATCACAGGATATTTACTCTGTGGAGGTAAACTGTTTACCACAGCTAAACAGCTCCAATATACAGAGGTGGCTGAAGGATGTTTAGACTACGGAGCAGGGTAGAAACATCCTCGTGTACAAAAATAGCAGCCTTACATAATCATGATGTAATTATACATGACGGCCTTATGGCTGAAAAGGCCTCTAAGTCACTTTTAATCAGCGGTACAACTTTAAATCCCAAAAGAAAAAAAAAAGGGATAAATGCATGTCTTTACTCTTAAAAACTGAAATGTGATATTTCATATCAACTTAGTGCATGAAGAAGAAAATGTAACCAGACAGCATCATTAATGAGATTATTTTTAGTGGTTAATCAGATGTCAGTGTGAAAAGAAACACATTTTAAAAGATCCATTCAAAAGGGATCCTGGTGGTTAACAACCGAAAACACTTTACACAGATCTGAAGACATGTGGTGGCATACACCTTTTACATGTGTGTGTGTTAGAGTCTAAACTGCAGTTCCTTGAGTATCCACTTGAGGCTGGAATCTCTCTCTTACAATATGAATCCCCATTAGATCGCAATTTTCAAATCCCGATATTTACAGCAGTAATAAACAGGTTAACAAACTGGTTAAAAAGAAAAAGGTGCTGGTCTCTATAGCTTATGCTTTAGTTCGTTAAAATGGTACAGGGGATGAATATATATATATTTTTTTTAATTGTGAATCAGTTTTGATTTTATGAATGCTGAGAGCTAGGCATCACTTTGGCCAAACTTGGGTGATGTCACTGAGGCTACGTCCATGTCTCATACAGTCTTTGGTTAGAGCACGGCAAACCTGATGCATGGTGCTGATGGCTGGACAAGGATGGACCGAGCGAATTGCTTAGATGCTAAAATCATAACGAGCAAAAACTAATTGAAGAGCTATACGCTTGTAAATAATTTAAGGCTCAGCAAAAAGATATGCGCTTGAGTCAGTGAAGCATAAAAGATCAGATAAAGACCAATAAAATGTTGACCTATACATTTGTAACTTTCATCTAAAACACGTGAAGCAAGTTCACAAAGGGGGCACCTATACTTAGTCTTCATTTATTCCTACTCCCTCTGTTGCTTTATATATTCATTTAAGCATCTCTCGTTTATCCCTTCTATTTATCTTCATTCTGTGTTTAGAGCCTGTGATGTGATGTCGTCTCACTCCTTCAATTATTTTGTTCTCTCCTGGTCGACTTTAAACTAATGTTCCTTCATTGTATTATTTTATAGCATTAACTGCTTCTTCATATCTGCCTGTTGTATCGCTCTTACTCCTGTTCTTTGCATTTATATTATTTGTATACTCTCTGTTGGCCCGTCTGTTGATGTATTTGCTTTGTCTGTCAAAGCACTCTGTAAACATTTGTTTTTAAAGGTGCTATATAATTAAAGTTATTATTAGAGAAACCTATTTTACACACACTCCCAAAGACACGACAAACATGTAAAAAAGCATGTGATTGATACACTTGGCATTTATCATCTTTAGTGATCTGATAATGATGAGCAGTTATTAGTTTTACTTGTTATGTGTTGGAAGCAAATACGGTTTATAAATGATTATTGTTATTTGTAATGATCCTAAAATGATACACGTATCATAACATTGTACTTAATTAGCCAATATAAGTCGTGTTTTTATGTTTTTATTTTTAATATATGCGCATTTAGTTCGCACTGTTCATAATGAACAACTGTGACAACAAAAGAATTGAAATGAAGTTGAAACAGTGAAGGGAGACATCGAGGGAGACAGATGAGTCCTCCCCCTCAGTTTACCACTGTAATCACTGTAGGCATGAATATTTATGTCCAGAAGGAGTGAGGCGGGCAATTAGCAGAGCTAAACATGGCGGTGTCTGGGAGCTGCTCACGTCTGTGTGTCTATGTTTGTGTGCATGTGTCAAAAAATAAAATAAAATAAATAAAACTCGAAGATGAAAGAAGTCCCGTTGTAAGGCAGACACTTCGCAACCTGGAAAATTAACTTCTGCTGCGGTTATAAATGAATTCTATTTATGATAATGATGTGTTTATCGGATTACACAGTGGAGCTCGCAGCACATGTCAAAGGGGCTGAGGATCTTGGCTCTCCTTACACCTACACATGAATTTGTACATCTTATTTATTCCACAGAGTTGGTAACTGTAATCTATTTTACAGTGGCTGTGAAAAACAACTTCTTGTGTGAAACGACTCAGGAATATATGTTAGTGAAAACTCAAAAAAAGTTTTCATTTTGAGTCATTATAGTAGGAAGATGTACACGTATGTGGTCAGAGACCGTTTAGTTCAAATGAAGCCACATCGAAAGGGTTTGGATTCGACTACATTCAGTATATTTAGGAAATAAAGTCGGTTTATTCTGAATAGTTCTAACTGACAATGAATCCCATAAAAGACCAAAGACCAAAGCAGCATTCTGTGAATCCATCTTACAATACTTTAACACATCCTCCACCCTGTCTGTGGCCCATTTGTTTCTACAGAAAATATGAATCTTTAAAAAAAGCCTTGGTTTTAAACTTTAAAAAAAGGCTCACCAATTTTCCCACAGGTTTGTTGAGCTTTCATATGTTTGCACACACCTCAAAAAACACACCTACACAGGACTGTTGTTTGTTGCTTTCAGCTCAGCATTCTAAAAAAAAACTCTCCTCGATGAAAATTTTGGAATCAAGCACTACAGGCTTGAGTTGCTAACTCCTCAACGGGGGATTTTGAATTCCTCGTAAACAGAGAACAGACTCTTTGGATTAACGGAGATGCCTTAATTCTAGTGCCCACTACCGGAGCCCCCAGGGCTAGGTGCTGTTTGTTTGTCTGTTTATCAACAGAATTATGGAAAAAACAACTACAGGCTCACTTTTCACAAAAGTTGTTGGATCTTATGAGCAGGTTATCAGGTCAGCTACGCAACTATAACGCTTCTCGGAGGAGTTAACAAAAAATGCATCCCCCGTACAGTGTGTGCAGATCGAGAGATGAGCTAATCAGACCTCTTTAGTTTTTTCAGGCTGTAAACATGTAATTTTTCTGCTGAAAAAAACTGGCTTTGAATTGGGTGTGTACAACTTCCGGTGCTGCTGCAGCCAGCCTCAAGCGGACACTCGACGAACTGAAGGATTTTACACTTCAGCATCGGCTTCCTTTTTCAACATCGGAGGCTGCTGCTTGTTGTGAACACAAAGTGTGTTTTTTTCAATTATCTGTCATGTTCACATCAGTCAAGCAATGATACCGATGAAGATACTTACATTGTGACAGAGTGTTTTCTGGTTTCCACACTTCTATGTGGAAAGTTCCAAGAAAATCATCCATACAGAGCGGGGAGTATGTTTCTTAATGTATGCAACAATGGTGGGGTACTATCTTCATGTTTCCAGATGTTCAAGCATTAAAGTAAGAAAAGGTGTGTTTGGTAATGACATTCAGTAATATGATGATGTATACAGTGATATATTAACACACATATATACATATTACATGTACAATGCGTATTGAGGAGCATATGAGATGATGTGAGATCTGATGCTGGGTTCACTGAGGGCAGGATGCATTTAAAATCATGTCTGTGTGTATTATTCAGTTCTGGACTCACTGCAGACTTCAGTGCTCATTGTCTCATCATTTGGTTTTTCATTTGATTATTCAATAAAGATCCTTGCAACGAAGAAGGTTGTGTCCTTGAAATCACTGAAGATACCACACAATCAAGTTGACAGATCGTTATATATGTTCATATATCCGTATATAAGGTCGACAGAAGTTCAGTCTGTAGGGACTTGGGTTGGGAAATGGAGGGGCTGCTGGTTCAAGTCCAAAGTATGGAAGTCGGTCTGGTTGGTTGCTTTAAATACATATATTTATTTAATTTTACTGTACTCTTCATCTATGTAATGTGTATAATTCTTGGTTGAACAGCTACCAAAAATACATATAAAACTTGTACTACTCAGTTGTATGTAATTGTGTTTGTGACCAATAAATGTGAACTTGATTGCGGCGTATCTACTGTAAGCTTTATGTGTGTGCAGTTTGGACGGGCTCGATTTGACTAACATTTCATCTTCCAACACTATGTTGCAAAATAACAAATAAATCAACCTTGAAATTACAGAGAGCACATTTAAAGCTCTGGCATGTATTTGGGGGTACAGCAGGAAGAGTTTTCAGTGATGAAACGATAAAAAATAAACCAGTCATATCAAACAGGAATAAGACATGTCATGCTTTGGATCTAAACACAGTTCTTCATTGCTGGTTTTGGTTTTACAAACAGGATTTTTAGATAATGGGAAACATGTGAAAAAATCACAAGCCATACTGATGTATTCTCCAACAGAAAGGATAAAGGTGGACTTATTTATTATGTGTTCATTTCATAGATGAAAATAAAGGGAAATTACATCATAAAGAACTCCACTATAATAAATCATTCATCTTTCATTTGGGTCACTAAGAAACTACAATTTTTAGATTTTTATCAAGGTAACACACAAATCTACACAAAGCGGCGCCTTTCAACAGCTATTATATTGGCACAAGTTTTAAGCTCTGTTGATCTCTGCTAAAATAGACGACCATGAATTCAAACAGTTTTTACAAATACACTAGTAAGTCTTAAAGCTGTGAGCACACTATACTGTGAAAAGTGATCAGAATGGACATGAATGTTCTGTATGAGTGTTTTACCTGTAGTGGTGTTGGCTGCTGGTCCACCGGAGCAATGAGGACGACCATCTCATGGTCGATGCTCAGGTATCCAAAGACGTCGCACTGCGGCACTGAGACATGAAGCCGGAGGATCTGCAGGACGTCATGCACCGTCACTGGCTGGTTCTTATTCAGCTGTACACAGGAGTTAAACAGAGGCAGAGGGATTAGACAATGTTCCAACTTTTTTTTTTTTTCAAACTTTCAAAAAACTACTTTATTTGAATTTTAATTTGGGCAAATAAATATTTTCTCAGGTGCATGTCAAGTACACAACCACCTCATGAGAGAGGGAACTAAAAATATTTGATGTTTTAAGAGGAATTTCTCAAGAAAAAAAAAAAAAATTACATTCCAGAAACTTCAAAACATCGTTTTGAACCAACGCCTGAGCTGTAACACAGAATAATGGTAGAAAACATTGCCTTAACCAAAACAACTTGTATGGCGCTTTTCTACTCTTCTGACTACTCAAAAGGCTTTTCGAACCCCTGATCTTTCGGTTAAAATATTAAATATTAAGTCAGTGAAGACGGTTGGTTTAACATGGGACATAAACGTTTTTGCTCTTTTGACTTTCCAAGGAAATCCCAACTTAGTGGTATCAGCCAATCAGCTCGGTACTCTTGTGGAGAAATAAAAACAATGCTACAGAGGTCTGGGGAAGTCAAGTCTTTATAGCTCCATTGTTTTCATTGCAAATCTTGTGGTCTTAAGTACAAATTACTGCTGACTTAAGTGACATTACTCGAGGAAACTTGTTATACTTCACAAATCTTTTGTTAGACATCAACAGCTTTATACAACTTTTGTCACAAATACTGTTTCTTCCGAACACCAGGAACCCTTCTTTGATGTTCAAGCTCCAATCTAAGGGTTGACAGGCGTCATGCGTTTATGGTGTGAATTAATGGCTTACACAATGAATAAATAAAAGGTGCTTGCAAGAGCTGGTGTTGTAAAAGCTGCCTGTTGCTTCATGAAGAGGGCAGGGGGCCTCTCAGCGGGCCGAGCTGTAGCTTAAGTGGAGTTACACTCGTATTCTCATGTATCTTAGCAGCTGCAGATCAAATCAGCTCTGCTTGTGTTTGGGTTTAACAGGCTTAATGCTGAGTCTTAATATGATGATGATGCCTGTGTGGGGGATTATAGCCAACTTGATTTACAGCCAAGGGGGGGGCTTTGTTGTTTGATGATTAAGCTGATCAGAATGAGATGCCGGAGGGACTTATTAGCTGCTAACATGTCAGCGTTTAGGCATCAGCCGCCTTCAGGCTTCTCCTGCTGTTCAACAGGCTGGGCATACATCCAGGGAGGCTCAGCGGAGCCATGTGAGGGGAAAGCTGTGACACAAGGGTGGAAGGAAGTAAGGACTTTATTACTATTAGCACTTAATTATTGTTTAAGGAATTTTAGATCAATTGTTTCCTTTTGGGGACATCCTATAGAACAGTAGTAAACGTTTATGTTGGTGTACATGCACAGCAGAGCAAAGGCACTGGGATGGTCTTTGCATCATTTCACTTGACTGCTTTTCAGCATCTCACCTTAAGTAAAACTGTAGCTTAGACATGAGGCAAATTATAACCAACTACTTACACTGTACTGGACTTGTATAAAGGAATGTGTGTTGGAAAATGTAATGTCGGACAAAGGCTGATGGGCCACCTTTGGGTAAATGGTCAATGGACTTGAGCTTGTATAGCACACTTTCTCGTCTTCTGACTAATCAAAGCGCTTTAACACCACAGGTCACAGCTACACATTCACACACTGATGGTAGAGGCTGCTGAGTAAAGTGACCGTAGGTATTAAGTAATCCCATTCGCACACATTCATACGCTGGGGTTCATATGCTGGAGCAATTTGGGGTTAAGTGTCTTGCCCAAGGACTCATCGGACATGTGGCTGCAGAGCTGGGAATCGAACCCCCGACTCTACCAACTGAGCTACAGCTGTACTTCTGGCAATGTTTAGTTGTTTGTTTTTTTTTTCCTTTAAAAGTATATTAAACAAAAACAATATCAAATTATAATTTTAAAAATCATGCAATTCACTATAGAAAAGGGCGTCCATGGCTCAGTTGGTAGAGTTGGTCGTCTCCCAACCGGAAGGTCAGGGGTTTGATCCCCAGCTCCTGCAGGCACATGTCAGATGTGTCCTTACAGAAGACACTTAACCCCAAGTTGCTCCTGCTGCTTTATTGGCGCCATATTAATGTCTATGAATGGGATTAATTACTTCTGATGGACACTTTACATGGCAGCCTCTGCCCTCAGTGTGTGAATGTGTAGGTGCAGTGGACACATGCAGTGTAAAATTCTTTTGCTGTACAAGCTCGAGTCCATTCACCACAGGAGCCAGTTTTAAGTACTTTATTTACAGTTAGTAATGCGTGATATATCTTAGTAGTTGGCAGCGTACAGCAAGGAGTTGAGTCTCTTGAAAGGGTCAACACTTAAATCTGAACTGATGATTTGGGAGGGAAATAAAATCTTACTGTTTACCCTTTAGTGATCAAATAGGGGGCCAAGCCCAGTCTGGGCTTTTTGTAAAGGTCCACAAGTTATTCTTAAAAAAATGTATTTTAGTCTCAAAAAAAACCTCTCCACAAATGTTTATTGTGAACTCAACAGCAGCCTTCAGATAAACGTGGCAATAAAGGTAGATTCCTTTCCTATCAATTGTTGTCCTAATAAATATAAAATGTTCTAATGTCAAAAGTGTAATCATTAAAGTAACTGTAGTTTAAAGCTAAAGGTAGAATAGTTCCCTCTGTTGTGTAGTAGAAAGTAGTATAAAGTAGCTTCAGGTAATACATGATAGAAAAACTGTTATTGTCCATCAAAATGTGCACAAACAAAATTGCCTCCAATTTATATGAAATGTTAACAAGCTGGACTCATACAGCGCCTCGATGGTTCTCCAACACTTCAGAGCACTCTACACTACATCACTTCCACCCCATTGACACACACGTTCATGTACTCACTCACGCCTCAACATGTGGACTGGAAGAGCAGATAACTAGATGACCTGCCCTACCTCATGAGCCTCGGCCAAGCACCCACTTTTACCAGCTCAAGCTCGGCTCTCTTCGTGCTACAGAGAGACAGTGTGTGATACGAGGAAGCGAAGGAAAGCCTTCACTAAAATGCAGGACCTCATTTTGACTGAAATATAAAATGTTTTGGCAGCAAACCCTCAGGGGTGTTCTTTTCACTTTTCCATCTGTGACACAGTGTGTGGAATACTAACCGACCGACAAGGAAATCGACAGTGAATAGTCGAGGTAAAGGCTGAATTAATCCATTTTGTGACTGCATTCATTTCTCTACAGTTTACTGATTTGAGTGCATGGATCAGATTTCAAGTGGACAAATCATTTAAAAAAAACATTACAAATGATGATCAAAAGTAAACTTATTTGAAAGTATTTTCTTTAATTAAAAAAACTGCCTTATTGCTATTATTTCAGTATCAGCACTGTGTTCTTTGTTCATTTGCATGTTGCTGCAATAAGGAACCTGTTTGGATTTACAGCTCTCCCAAGTGGTCAACACTTGTAATTACATGCCAAACTATCTGTAGCAGCCACATAGAGAACACTGACAAACCTCAGTTAAACCAGAGTGAGCTCTTTTTGTCACTTAAATTAAGAAGCCTTGTTTTGGTACTTAAACTGTTCCATGAGACTGTACCTGTATACAAACCAAACAACAACAATCATGGATCAGCACAGTGTCTGATATTTTCCGTACTTAACATGTTTCATATATACAGTATTAGAGTATTTAAGCTGACAGTGGTTAAATAGCAGCTCTAGAAATGTAAATAAGCCATACCTTTGAGAAAGTATTCATCTGCTCTTTGTTCCAGAGGATCTGCAGCATGCTGGCACATATTGGACAGCAGGCTCCTGGAAATCGAACCGAGATTTATTTATTTTTTTTCCATTCTACCACTAAGAACCATGCCTCTTATACTCAGACAGATTTTTTGACACTCACCAGGGGGGGTGACAGGCAGGCAGCCTGGAGTGGACAGAGGAGGGCATGGTATCCCGCTGCATGCAGAGTCAGGGGCCATGTCAGACACGCCCCCTACAGCTTGGCAGGGGCCCTCGTAATCCACAGCCACGCGGTCGGAGAAGGCGTCACACACCGTGTTGTAGGTCTCACCATTGTGGCCACAAACTTGCTTGGGCTTCGTACAGGCATCCTGAAGACAATAAACACAAACAGTATAAAACCTGCATCCATATACAGTGTGTTTATATGTTGCTAATATGACGTATATAGTCTGAATATTTCATATGTTCATGATTTTTAACAAGAGTTTATTGCCATAGCTGTACAAACTCCACAGTACAATACAGACAATTGTTCCTCCTTTACAGCAGACAGGTTACAAATGGTAACATGCTGTCTTTTTTAAAGGTTTATTTTTGGGCTTTTATGCCTTCATCTGAAGATATGACAGTGGATAGAGTTTGACATTAGGGAGAGCAAGTGTGGGGAATTACCAACAGGTCCATTTGAACCTGGGCCGCCTGCTTGGACTTTAGCCTCTGTACATGTGGCGCACAACACCAGATAACTTAAAAGCTTTGTCATTTACTTTCCATATCAAACTGTGGTGTTAACTTCTTATTCATCTACATCCCCAACGAGAATGTTGGGGGGGGGGGGATTTAAGTATTTTTATAATCATTTGTACATCTGTATTTTGTCAGGATTAGTATTTTGTGTTTTTGTATTTGCATATTTCTATATTTAACTGATATTAGGCATCTACAGGCTTGCTCCAACAGTATTTCTTTGTACTTGTACAGTCACAATAAATATATCTTAACTTATGTCAAACTATCATCTCATTTCCTTCTCCAATCTTCTGGCTGTGCTCAGCACGTTTCTGGTCCTCCCAATCAATACGGACAAACTCTCAATGGAATCATCACTTCTGTCTTAACTCTTGTAAATCAAAACGTCTGTTTCTCAACATGTGCCTGACCTTTCCTTTTGTGCCTGAAAGGTCCTCATCCTGTCCTATAAATAATTAAATAATAATTAATAATAAATAATTGATGGCTTTGGAGACTTCCTCCTCTACTGAAGGCTTTTACCTTTTTTACTGAGGTGGCATTGTTTAAGTGGTAGATCTTTCTGCTTGATGATGGTGTCGATTTAAATGTATTGACTGAAATAACTTGGAAGGCATGATGACTGTAAAGGACTTGTTAGAACCTCCTCTGTATCACTCAGCGATGTCTTCTCTTCTAGCTATGTTTGTATCAACAAATATGAGCTTTCATCATAACTTATTCATACACCCTGAATTCAAAAATGATTAAACCCTCTGATTAAATGAATAACTTTTGCGCAGTATGGTTATCACTTGTGCTGTCTGTCACGTCGAGCTCATCAGTTCTTCTTAGCTCTAGAAACACTTAAGGGTTAAGAGAACGATTCGGCAACAGAAACAACATGAGGACAGCGGTCTCTGTCTCTCGCTGCCTGCTGCTGATCTGTGTAACCTACCTGGCAGTGGCCCATGTAGGCCAGAGTTTTCCCAGCCTGCTGCAAATGGCACAGATTGGGGTGGACCAGGCCATCAGTATCACAGGCCGGCTCCACACTGTTCTTATCACAGGGTCCGGGACGACCTACACACTCGTACTGTGGGCAGTCTGATGAGTCACTCAGACACACACGATACTTTGGGAGGCACCTGTAAGCACACACATAATACGTCTTTATATATCTGTACTTATCACTTTATATAAATAAATCAAATAGTATCTGGGTATTCTTTGCGCAGGAAGTTGAAATACACCATTACACATAAAATTCACATTCACACCATGAACATTTAAAAAAAAAAAAAAAAACTCCAATAAAAGAGCAAGGCAATTAGAACAAATTGATTTAACAAAGCCTGCCCTGTCACCATAGCAACCGCCAAGTTTCCACACATGCCTCTTCTGATAATTGTGTTGAGTCTTTGAACAGAGGGCCAGGAAAAAAGGTTTATGAAAGTTTTGTGCTGTAGGATAAAAGACGTGATCGTGAAGGGCCTGTGAGTGCAGGTGGTAAATCTGCCTGTGTGTGTGTGTGTGTGTGTGTGTTTACGTGTGCGCCTGCCTTTAATGTCTTCCAGACCACATCACCGAGTGGAAAAATAAATGAAACACTTACAGGAACATTTATGCATGGAAGATAAGACTTCATTTCGGTTCAAACATTTAGCTGTATCTAATGCAACCTCTCAGTACAACAGTTAAAAGCGTGGCCAGCATGAACTCTCAGTGTGTCATGTCAGGGAAAAACAAGGAGTGGGACCTAACTGCAGATTCTAAACTGAAAATATGTATTAAAACAAAAAGGCCACAAGGAAAGACTTGGATCACTGGAAAGAAAGATGTATCAATACGGGGAGGAAGACGTATGAAGCACACATGCACTAAGGCCCAATGTCGATGTCCACCCTCACACACTCACTGACTTTGATGCTCGTTCCCGCTAAGTCTGCGAGGGCTCAGGGTCGTCCCAATGTTGGATTGTCAAGTTTGTGAGGGATCTCTGGCTGACTTTACGAGCCCTTTATGCGCCCTGTCCAAAAGTGGGCATATCTGCAGACTTAGCGGGAGGGAATTACCCATAGTTCATAGCATTGCGACGTGCAACATAGGATACCCAGGGGAAGCCCGCAAGAACGGAAGGGTCAACAAACGCCTTAAAAGAGAAATAAATATAAATAAATAAGAGAAAGACGGTAAACTAGCATGGAAGGTGCAACCAACCTAAGAAACCAGGTGCAGCCTAAGAAACTGCGTCAGACCAAGGGTGATAAGTTAAAAGCTTATAGATTGGATTGTGATGATGAGTGATTGAAATGGAATAACCAAGAGCTTTGTGGTTAGTTAACCTCCCCCCCTCAGTTTAACCATAACCACATGCAGCTACAACCTGGCTGTCAGTGAAATAAAGGGGAAAAGGGTATGATGAAGGATGGGAGGGAAAATGTTGTAATTAGTTTTTCTTGATGAGTCTGAGCTCATTGTTACCAGCTGATACGGTGGCCCGTCAACCTGAGCTTACCTCTGGTTTCTCTGGCAGGGTTTGTTGGCGCAGGGCTTGCTGAGGCGGCACAAGCCGAAGACAAACTGATGGTCCTTGAATCCCATGCAGCGAGCCACACAGGCACTAGGGTAGGTCCGTCCGTTTGAGGCACATACTGGGACAAAACGGTCCGGACAGCTACAAGGCAGACCTGGCGGAGGATGGGGGACAAACATTTTTTTTATTCTGGTGAGGACAGGAGGACAGGAGAGGATGATAGTTCTAACACAAGCGGTAGCAGTTGCCAGGATAAATATTGCTTGTAATCCATTTTAATCTGCCTCCCGGTGATGGAAGAACATTTTCCAAAGAAGGGCCAGACACGTGTTGTTCATTACATACATGTAGGTGTGCTGCAGAATGGGAAGAAAGACTCTTCCATGCCTATCTAAAAAGTATTACAACGTTCTCTAACATTTGAGTCTTTCCTTTCAAAACTTCACCCTGACAAAAAAACAGTATTTCTGTGTGAATCCATGCTCTGAATGGGTTGCTCCTCTGAAGTGAAAGAACAGCTTTCTGTGGTAATGCTATGTGAGGCTGAACAAAGAGAAAGAGAGAAAGAGAGAGAGAGAGGCAGAGCAGGTCTGTTCAAAAAGACAGAGTTTATAATAAGAACTGTATTCACTCTGCAGAGTCAGCCTGAGGTACAACTCAAGGACTTCTTTTGACACTGTCACTGTGTGAACAAGTAAATGGTGACATTTCCGCTAACCTTGCAACAGACTGAAGTGACACCTGTAACCATTGTGATTGTGTGAAACGAGGATAGCAACCGGGATAGTAACAGATGCTGCCTTAATAAGGTCACAAGATGTAAAAAACACATACAAACGTATGATTTTTTGGTTGAATAAACCTGACAAAACCAAAAAGTGAAACGTGACTTAACAAATATAAAAGCTACTGACTTCCATGTTCTTAGAAAAATCGTTTTTTCTGTCTCAACCTACGGTAAAGAAACTACAGTAACCATGGACACCATGCTGACTGCGTGAAGTCAAACAAAATCTTGTGAATTTCAGGCCAGAGTTCGAGAATGAGTTAGTGTTGTTGCCATCATGAACTGGGCCGTTAGCAGCTCCAGTTACAATTATGTTCAAATCCGGTTGATGTCACTTCCTGTCATGTTGTTGAAAGACAGGTGCACGAACAGCATGTGCCAAACAAACAAACATCCGCGCTGTCTTACCAGTGAAGTGTCGGCGGTCCTCATCGGAGCTGTCGTAGCCCAGACATTCCCGTGTGGAGCAGATGGAGTCACCAGCGAAGCAGGAACAGGTGTGGCAGTCCACCATGAAAGATGTCCCGTGGCCTGGTGATAAAACACAACAGCAACACTTTTAGAAAGACAACAACAGCACGGATGAATAGAATGGTACTGCACATGAACGATGCTGTGTTTTAAGTTACAAAAAAACACACCCGAGCTGAGTTATTTATTACAGATTTGGTATTCAATCAATTTCCAAAAAAAATTCATCTAATCGCATATATGGATAAAATAAGGATTGCGTTACAGGTAGATCTGCTGCATAACTGCATGGTTAATTGCAAAGGCCTCAGTGTTTTTATGATTTGGCATCCAAAAATGCTGACTAGCTGTTGTGTAAAATTGTTTGGTAGTTAAAGCATTGCCAATTCTTTAAAAGTCAATGATTTGGGTCATCATCCTAGAAGACCCAGAGACTCCAGTTTTGTCGAAATAACCTCCACCCTAAAACAGCTGTAAAGAAAAATAGGGAAGGGTGCAGAGGGCTGCACAATGCTGGTCTGCATGAGACAGGGCAACCCCCAGTCTGACTTCCAATGATGGCAGCTTAGTTGCTTTGACCCTGATGCTAATACGAGCTCTTCTGCTCTGGAGGGTTGCTACTGAGTTTTGAGCTAACATCAATATCAGCAGCCAGGTAGGAGAGATGCTAGGATTTTTAAATATAGGGGCTGCACGGTGGTGCAATGGTCAGAGCTATTGCCTCACAGTGAGAAGGTTTCTGGTTCAAATCCCTGTCGAAGACTAGCCTCTCTGTTTTGCCTTTGCAAGTTCTCGCATGCATGGGTTCCCTCTGAGTAATCTGCCTTCCTCCCACAGTCCAAGGACATGCTCATTAGGTTAATTGGTGACTCTACGTTGCCCATAGGTGTTTAAACATGGCTGGTTGTGTGTCTCTATATGTTAACCCTGTGATTGCAACCAGTCCAGGGTGTACCCCGCCTCTCGCCCAATGACAGCTGAGATCAAGTCCAGCCCCCTGCGACCCTGAACGGCAAAAGCGCTGTAGCTAAATGGCTGGACGGATAATGCTTAATTTGAGGCAAACAGAAATTGTCTTGGTGTCGCGTTAAGTTTTAAAAGACAAAAAAAAGGATAAACCAATCAACTGAAAATATCTCCAATCAAACCCCTCAACACACACTTCAATCCTTCTTAACCCAGTATTATAGGACTTACAATAATTTTGATGTAATATGGTGTTTTTATTGTTATCAAAATGATTATAAATTACCATGGTCCCATTTTATGCAGTGATTCATTACTGCTTTTACCGCCCCGCAGGCTGTATTTCCTTTCTTTCACATTAGTAATTCATCCGTTTAAAATTCTGGACAAGCCTGTGGAATATTTGCACTCAGAGGAGCCGACCTCCTTCTAATTCTCGTGTTACACGAGAAAAAGTTTACTTCCCCTTAATGTCCTTTAGATGATTGGTGCCAAGTTTGGTTGCAATTAAGTGAAAGAAGACAATTAGATGAGGAGGGAAGTAAATAGTTGCCAAAGGTTAATGGCATCGTAATAGCTCTATTCAATTTCCTCTGGCAGGGATAAACTAAAACTTTTCACTGTTTTCAAATGAATTACAGTTTTTTTTTTTCTTATTTGTGGTTGTTTTAAAACACATTCTTGTCTGAACAGCTGCTGATGCAAATGAAAGAGCTGTTCTCATGCAACTAAGATCAGGCTAAATCATCCAGTAATTTATGTATTGCATTAAATAAGGATTGTTAGGATGCAGGATATCTCTTTGCTTTGCTTCAGAAGAGATTTTTGCAGTTCTCCATCCTTAAAACTGTGTTTGAAGGCTCTGTTTTCAAATACACTTACTAGAGCAGTGGTTCCCAAAGTGGGGGGTGGAAACTGAGAAACTGAGAGGGGGGGGGTTGCGAGATGCCTTCCATAATCGAATGAAAAAGTTAAATGATCTAAAATTGTGTATTTGACCCATTTTTGTGGAAAAAACATACAAAAAAGTTGTTGAAATTAGAATACAACTTAAGTCATCAAGTAAGATTTAAATTAAAGTGATGTGCCCTAATAACACAAGTACACACCGACATCCCCAAACTGTCTGTGTTTTAAATGTTGTTTGTCCACAAAGTCCTACATTGAGATTACACGTGTTCTGCTTCTAGCCTTTCTTACAATGAATTACTGATATCAGGACAGTACAGGTCCCCAGTTTCTAAACATAGTTAACGTGGTAGTCCCGAGCTGAAATGTTTGGGAACCCCTGTACTAGGATGTTTGAACCTTGAGGTGATGAGCTTACATTAGAATACTTATTTAATCACTCCAGACTTTTACTGTTACATCAAAGAATTCAAATAAATGTCTTTTGGGCTTTCTTTACCGTTTAACTTACGCACACTAGAACAATCCAAAAGGCAGACATGAGGAAACAGATGTTTAAACTGAAAGGTAATTGGTTGCACCTGACCTTATTTAGGGCTTTCACATCAAAGCATTCATAGCCTTGCATCATTTCAATTGTCAATACGTTTCAACACAATGTAAATCCCCCCAAATTCACTGGGGGTGGATGTTCAGTGTAATAAATATCTGGGTATTGTTATTGATAACAGACTGAAAGGCAGTGAGAACACAGATGCAGTTTATAAAGCACAGCCCTGTCTGTACATTCTCCATAAGCTAGACTGGTTTGGTGTGTGCAGTAAAATGATGACACATTTTTATAACTCCATGTTGGAGTCTGTCCTCACATTTGGCCTTATCACCTGGTTAACCTGGTGAACCTGATGAACTCTTGTATTAACCGTTAACCTGTTTTCACCTGGCTGCAAACCAAATTTCCCCTCAGGGACAATAAAGTTACTGTAAATACTAAAAGCAGGTGGGAAGTTAAAGCCTGACCCAGGTGAAAAACAGCTGGATGCATGGACTTAAAAACATATAAATGTGAGATACCAAGGCACCAAGGCTGAGGCTCACCCCTGAGTACTTGGCAGACTGATCAACAGATGTTTGGCGAGGAGTCATTCCAGCACATAACCCCCCGTGAAAACCAAATAATTTTTCTGTTTGTGTATGAGTGAAACAAATTATATATTAAATCTAGGATGGAGAAAAAACAACATGTTAACTAAAGGGGCCGGATAAAAATTATAAAATACCATCCATTACAAATGTGAATGCAAACACAGGGATACATTCATTCACCTCTTCTATATTCAAATTGTAACTAATTCAAACTAATCTTAAAGTATCCAAAAGATCTTACATTCCTGTGTTTATTTGATTAACTTAAAAAAAAAAAAAAAGGTTGCAACATTTAAATCTTCCAGGCTTATTTATTTCTTTTTTGAACTTGAGTGAAGATGTTTGTCCAAAGCAAGTGGCAATCTCCGGTCTTAAAAAGAAGCCGATGCGGAAGTGCAAAATCCTGCAGTACGTCCAGGAGCCCCAGAAGTCACATACACATGACTGGCAAAAGTCGTTTTTACAGCATAAATAAACAAGTTTACAGCCATGGTACAAAAAAAACGTTAGGCTGACTGAAAGTTAGGCAGAGACAGGATTTCCAACATGGCGGCTGCTGCCGATGAGCCTCTGTAGCCCCATGCCGTAACAGATGGCTGACGTCACTCAGGCTTTGTACATTAATATTTACAGTCTGTGGTCCAAAGTGACATTTTAGCGTTCAAAACAAAAGGAAATGTGACACATACAAAGAAAGCTACAATCAGCCTGTTGCAACACAGCCCAAATAGGTGATTTTAACATAAATCCCCTTCTGACAAGGCAAAATAGTCACCCATAGTTTAGGATCTTGGGCTAAGCACCTGGGGTGGCCAATCAGATTTCTAGGGGGGCCCAGGCCACCCATTCAGCCACGCACCTGCCTGGGCCACACACACCCCCCCTTTCATGTTGCCACTGTTTGTTTTGCAGTGGTTTATGCCAAGCTATGAGACACTGAGTCAAAATTCAAAACACATAAGGTGAATATTTGAACACCTCGTCCTTAGGATAGAGTACATAAACATGTTATAATGAGGGTTGAGCTTCTATTTTGAGGTAATTTAACTTAAACCTCTGCAATTGTTCCTTTCCAACAAGATATGAATACACTCAAATGATTTAAACCTCCTATCATTTTAGCGGTATTTCTCCATCAAGAGTTGGACATTTTTCAACTTGAGCAAATCAAAACTTGACCTGTATTTGAAGAACTCGGCTGGCTGAGAATGAACATGACTATTGAAGAGCGCTAATGTTTGCTTTATTCGGTTCAGTCAGTTGAGCATTTAGAAATCGGATAGTATCAAAAAATGATCATAACTCAAGGTTCACTTAGTAAGCTTTTTTACATGTTGGAACCACATTTGTTCTAATTTGGGCATTTCATGCGTTTGTATTTCAGCAGAGGGGAGAGAACAGATGAAAAATTGACTAGTTAGAATGGGCAGCAGTGTGAAGGGCCTTTCAGATAGGACACGGTGGGCGCTGCATGCCACTCTCAAACCCATTCATTTTCTACATTGGCGCAAGAGCGTACCTGTACCCCACTGAGATGAGCACAGGGCAAGGTTGCGCTTGCGGTTCTTGCTGAATTTCAAAAATGTTCAAACTTGGACTTGAGCTTGAATAGCGCTTTTACTCTGCAGTTCACACCTAGCCATTCACACACTGATGGCAGTGGTTGCTATGTAGTGAGACCATCAGAAGTAACTAATCCCATTCATACGCCGCCAATGAAGCAGCGGGAGCAATTTGGGGTTTAGTGTCTTGACCAAGGACACATCGGAAATGTTGCTGGGGATCGAACCTTCGACCTTTTCCAGGTGAGACGATGACTCTACCAACTGAAACACAGCCACTCTATAATGAAGTGGTCATTATAGAGCTGAAGCTTCTGGACAAACCTCAACTCTCCCAAATCCTGTCTGAGGGTTTCATGAACACACACCCTCTCCTTCTTTGCTGCTTGTCTCCTCCTCAGCAGTAGAAAGACGAGGGCTTTTTACTGTGTCGTGGACATACTCAAAATAGCGTAGCTATACTTTCCCGACTATTTTTTTGGTCACCTAGCGTTATGTGCCCTTGCTTTGTGCTGGTGTGCGTTCCCGTCTGTGCACACAGCATGCTATCTGAAAGAGGAATACCTTGGACTGAATAATGTTTTAGATAGTTTGTGTCATAACTCCTATACCAAATCGATTCCCAAAGATCTTGAATTATTTCACAGGTTCACAGTTGTTAAAATTTTACACTCCACCAGGCAGTACTTCAATCAACAAGGAATTGTTTCTTACCTTCTGCAACCCAAAAAATAAGGTGAGTCTTCTTGGAAATTGCGGTTCTAAAAACTACAAAATGCTTGAAAACACTCAAAGCGTACAAATATGACCCTCTCTAGATTTCTTACTCTCCTGTAAAAGGCCAACAGGGTAACTAGGAGCAATCCAATTCAAAAGATTGAACTGGCAAGATTGGATAATGGCTTTTGTCATCTTTTGCCACCTTCTGAGCATGAATTCTCCCTCACTTTTTAAGAAACAAGTCCACCATGAAAAGCTTGGTGAAATATGTACCTACTGAGCTGCAGAAGAGTTTCTTTTTTTTTTTTAAATGATTCTGAAAAGGTAAGTGATGTTCTGTGATGTGTCCTTGCCTGCTGTTAGACAACAGGACTTTAAATTGGCAGACTTTACAATGGAGTTCGGCTCGACAGAAAACAGAACAGTGTGAATCCAATTCAAAGAAAGCATCTGTCCTCAATAACAGAAGAGCAGCTCAAAAAAACAAACATAAAAGGACAAGGCTAAAGGAGCAGTGAACCTGTGAAGGACTGAGTTGGGGAAGGAACAAGTCGGCGGTGACGCACGTAATGAAATGGAAACGGTTTAATTTGTCTTTGTAAACAGAAATAAATTAGTTTGGAAATGAATTCTTCTTTCAGTTCTATTTTATGATGAGAACAATGTTATAAATGATGAAACTCTGTGCCATAGGGCTGCAGAAATTGTCAAGTGCCTCTGGGTTCTTTTTGCGGAAATACTGATATGCACATGTTCCATACATCTGTAATGATACCATAAATCATCGTCCTGCAATGGGAACAAAAAAACTCTGACGGAAAAGATAAAGCATCTGAAAGCTGATGTGCAAAGAAGCGAGATCTGTGTCCGACTCCGATTCCATGAAAACATGACAGGTGCATTTTTCAGAAATGGATACGTTTGTCATGCTTTATTAGCCACAGAAATACTCTTCCAAAGATATGATGACCTGTATAAAACTGCTGTTTTATGCTTTATACAGAGCTCACCATCTCCCCTCACACACTGTTCACAGGAGGTGACAGATAACGAGGTTCAGGGATGATTGAAAATGTGTCGTTTTATATGTTATTGACTTGTATATTGCATCCTATCAACCTTCAAGTCATGATTATAATTGAAAGTTGGATATCATAATAATACATTTAACAATTTATAAAGAGGTGTCCAAACATTAAGAATATGTGACGACTCACAAGTCTTCAACATTGAAATCCATCCAATCACTATCTTCTGACCTGAATGTACCTGCTCGAGATCAAACTGCAGTTCTCACTCATGAACTAAGGAGAAATCTGGAAAATCATCCGGACTTTTGGAAAATTAGGAACTAAACCACTTCTGCCAAGCAGCTGACTCGCAACTAAATTGTCCAGGAGACCCAGAAAAAAATTAACAAAAACCAAAGGCTGCAGGGAAACCTTAACAGTGAACGCAAAAGACTGGAGTAGCAACTAACTCCCCAGCACCCCAAGTTTACTCTGAGAGAAGGGCAATGGAGAGCAAATTAGACAGAAAGGGTTTCTGTTTATCCAGACTTACACTAGAGAAACTACAGGGAGAACCTCTCACTACCTCAGACAATGAGATAATAAGTCAGCACAGAGCGCTGGAGACCCAGAGTATATATAAGCTCCCCATACCTGAACTTAATCAAGGCCAATCAGTCACACACACACACACACACACACACACACACACACACACACACACACACACACACACACACACACACACACACACACACACACACACACACACACACACACACACACACACACCTGACTGAATGCAGGGAGTCGACTCTCTCAGCAATCTCACTGAGCAGAGTGAGTGCTCCTCACACTTTCACACAGGTTGCACATAAAAGAGACTGTATGTGTCAGATCCGTTGTCATTAACTGAAGTACACAGTTTAAGTGAGAGGTAAGCTGTTTTTTTTTACAGATTCTTCATTGAAAATATGGGATCTAATATGATTATAGGTTCAATATATGATACTGTATGTGTTGAGGTATCCGAAGCCTATTGGCTGTAATTTGTAGATTGGGTATAATTGATCACTAGTGTTTTGGTTGTATATTTATATACATACACATATATATATATATATATATATACACACACACACACACACACACACACACACACACACACACCGGTATATAAAAAAAGAAAGTTCATGTGGAATGCAAAAGAGGAGGAATGCATTCTTGGATCCTGATGATGATTTACCATTATTATTTCCATATAAACGGACATCTGCATGCAAGTGCTGTCAAAAATGAAAGCTATGGAGCTTTTTCTGACTGCTGGCTAGAACAGAAGCCCCCCCAAAAATGACCTGACAGTTCCAGACACTAAATTGTTGTCAGGCAATAACTGATTGGTAAATAGTCTGAGTCTGTTCAAGCCAAGTTTTGTGCAACTTTTAGCTAACCACACCTTCTTCCTTTTAATGAAACAATATGACATTAAAGCAGGAGTGAGGCAATACTCCAATTGTGTGGCTGTAGAGACACCATTCTAAATCTAATCTCCCCAAGAAGTAACAGCAAACCACTTTTTTCATCCAGGGACCTCATATAACCATTTCCATAATGTCTACTGTTCTTCTTAAGACTTAAATTATAGAGATATACAGGAGGTCTTACTCTTCCTCTGTCCTCCTACGATGCAGGGCTTGTTGGTGTCCACACAGGGCATCTCCCCACAGTTCTCCAGACGCCCACTGGGACCACAGCTGCAGACCTCGAAGCACCCAGCGGGACCAGCGCGAGTCGGCACCTGGATACGAGCATCCTGCTGCACCAGAAACTCCGAGGCCTCACCTAGTTTACAGCCTGAAGACACACACACACACACACACACATGCTCACACACTCAGGATGACTAGCATGCTGCAGTTTGTATGTTCTTAAAGAAAAATAAAAGATGTTCCTCAAACTGTAGTAGGAGCTGATCGTACCTGGAACACAGAGGTATGGCTGGCAGTTGAGCTCATCAAGGCATCCCTTCCTGTTGACCTGACATACGTGGTTGCTGGGGCATGGGTTGGGGTTGCATGGATGGATCACCTCCTCCACAATGTTGTTGCCAAGGGAACTTGGAGCTGGAGAGAGTGTGTGATAATTAAGACCTGGTCATGGCAGTAGAGGAAAATCTGAGGGCTCATAAAATTAATTAAATGTATGTTGAGAATGTATGATTACATTTTATGATAATGCAACATACAGTTGTGCTGAGATATTTTAATACAAGAGAAGTCACATAAGTCATTAGAATTAATACTTGGAGACCAAAAATGAATGTAAAGCTTTTTCCCATATGCAATCCTGAAAATATCTAGATCATTTGAGGAGGACTGCTCAGTGTATTTTATGACCTTGCTGTTCACATATGCACGTCACAGCGGGAGACTTTGGATAAATGTTACATTTCGTCGTTTGACAGAATCATGATATCAACAGTGCGGATGGAGAACAACATACTGTTGAACAGAAAACGTAATGCAGCCGTTTAATTACATGCATGGAGATCGTAGCGGTCAATTGCACACTGCAGCCTCCAGACACAGTATACTTTATAAACATCACCATCCCCTCCCATTGGCTCGAGCTGAATTCTCCAGATTATATCCTGCTGCGCTCTCTCATCAGCTTCACTCCTGTAAAGTCAGAGTGAAACATTCTGCTGTTTCTTTCACACATGCAGCTCCTCCTGGAAGTATCGGGAGTTTTACAGAAGTTTTCTGTAAGTGTGAAAGCCTTATAAAAGATTTCATGAGAATTCATTCAAAAGCTGTTCATATTTTCTAGTCCTGAACAAATTGTTGACGTATGCTTCTTGCACTAGCAAAAAGGCTGTTTGAGAAAATGAGGATATTGAAATTGATAAAGTTTTCATTTCCATTTCTATAAATACTGTCCTTGTTACTCACTGAGGTATCTGTGGAGGGGAATGCAGCGTTCAGGGTCATCGATGGGTGACAGCAGCTCACAGATCCTCTCTGGAGTTTGGCCTTCATGGAAATGTTTCCTGTCCCCACACTGGGTCAGGATGTCCACACAATCTGACCTGAGCACAGATAACAGATTTTAAAACGATACTTCAAATAAATCTATAAAAAGAATCGATATAAAGTGGTCTTGTGTAACTTCAAGGTGAAGAGGGTTCGAGGCCGGGCTCTATGCAGGGAGAGAGGCTCTGATGAAACCCACTGACTGCAGCTGGATGTGGACGACATGTCATGGTGTAATGTCAGTCAAGACAAGTGGAAGATTAAAACCTCAGAGGAAGGTTGTACTTGACAAACTGCTGAACAAGATTTATAGCCCAGGGGGAATGGAGTACTCTTATGCAGTGCATACACACACACACACACACACACACACACACACACACACACACACACACACACACACACACACACACACACACACACACACACACACACACACACACACACACACACACACACACACACACACACTTCAAACATGACACAGCAGATCTTGGAAGAAGGGCATGGCCTCCACCTGTCCGTCAAATCCCAGGCCCATGAAATGATGTTCCCATCGCTCATCACTGACTGCAGTTTCTTTTTTGTGCAGTCACAGAAGAAAGAATGGAGAGGAGGAAAACAATGAGCCCTGGTGATTTTAGAAAATTATCAAAAATGTCCAAAAAAAAACTAAAAAGTTGTAACTAACGAAGTTCTCCAGGGGTTGCGGGAGAGAAATAGGCAAAGACATTGCAAATCTGAACACAAAGCAGAAACATTCCTGTACCTTTGGGATTTTATGTTTCTGTCTCGTTAGACTTTTTTTGAAAAGGTACTCCATCTTCAAATAAAAGTTTTATTTACTATTGAGCTGAGAAATAAAAAGATAGCCATGCACTTGTTCAAAATTAAAGATATTTGCTTGAAACTGCAGATACGTAGATGCAGCTGCAGATGGGATTTAAATTACAGGAGGATCAATGAGATCACCTGGAAAACAGCAGGTAATTGCAGCTTCAATTATTATTGGTTTGGGGGTTTAAAATTACCCACAGATGCCCTCTGGACAGGATCAAAATCACAGACCAGGGCAGGTTCTGTTAAAATCCCCCGTCTCAACTAGAGAAGTCTGAATGGGGCTTCTCTTTTACAGGAAATCTTGCTTACTTGAGTCCAGACAACCAGGACTACCAGCACTGGAAAACCTTTGTCTCACACAATTTGACTTGTCATTGCAGAAAAAGAAAAGGTGAAACTATAAGAGCATTCAAGGTGTCTCTATTAAAGAGTTAATTTAATTACTGTAAGTTTGGATAAGTAGAAAAAATGGTCAATATTAGTTACAGGAAAAGTTTAATTTCACTCCTGCATGTTAGTACATGTTAATAACATGTCACTTGTGGGCTGGGAGGACAACATACTTGCATATGACGCTCCCTCTGGACTTGCTGTGGCAGGGTTTGATCTGCAGCGAACAGGCCACGGCCTTCCACATGTCCGGCAGACACTTCCTGATGTCGAGCACAGGGATGTTCATTAACGGCATCTTGATCGTTCCGTTTGACCACAGTTTAATGTCATTCATGGCGCCCTGGTCTGACTGGACGTTACAGCTGCGGAACAACTCTGTCGGCCTGCAGAGGGAGACACAAAAATGATACCTTACAAACACTCCAGTGGGGAGGAAAAGTGGGTTTGTGCTTTGAAGTGAACATTATACAACATGAGCAACCTGCTGATTGCGGGATAAGTTCTGCTTAAAACTGTGGCCTTGTAGCCGTCTGCACTGCAGGCCTTACAGAGTCCCTCTGGGTAATGTGAAGAGTGTTTTCCGCTTCCACTGCACCAGGAAGTGTCTTTGATGTCTGATTGGTGGGTTCGGTCTCAAGTGACTCAGCTAATTGGTGGTTCGAAGGAAGAAGGTTACAGGCAGAAGTTTTGGGTGTGGTTCCGTCATTCCATTTGCTGCTGATGAGTGGATGCTTTGTTTATTTTAAGAAACCTGGTGTGTGCTTTTGGGTCTGTGTGTGTCTTTGCAGGCATGTGAGCCTGTGTGTGTGTAAATCGCTGAATTCTTAACTCTTTAACCCCCAAAATGCTCAACGTTGGTTTTCTCCCTCAAACCAAAACTAAATGTAGCCATCAGCTGACTCTTATTTAGAGCAAACCACGACAGCTCTCTCCTGAATTTAGTTACAGAGGAGTGATTTCCCAGAAGTTTTTATTATGACTGCAGCAGCACAAACCATGAAGGTTTCTCATTGTTTTTGAAAAGTCATTATGTACAGACTGTATGCACAGTACAACACTGCAAAAAGAAAAACACAAAACATACACTGACCCTTTTTTGTGTTGCTGCAAAAACAATACAAGGCAGTGCTATTACAGATTTGTACATTCCAGGCGTAAAAAAAAAAAGACTTTGTCAACCTCTGTGAGAAATGCAAAGTGAGTGGTTTACATTTTAGAGCACATTTAGTCTGAAACTTGAGAATAAACATCCGTTACCAATGTTTGTTCTGCAGCAATGTCAATTAGCTGCATGTCACGCCTTCAACACGAGAAATGTAAATATTATTACAGAAAAACAAATTCTTCAACTTAAGCAAACAGATTTAATGACACAGTCCCCAGGTAGTAGATGCACTCATATGAGCTCATTATCACAGTTAATCTTAGCCTCTTTTTCCTGCTGTGTCACACACATAAAGATATTACAGAATCATTTACATTTAAAAGTACAATCATGGGGGCCGCCGGTGGTATACTGGTTAGTGCGCGCGCCCAACGTACTGAAGATGTGGTCCTCAAAGTGGGCAGCCCGGGTTCAAATCCGACCGGTGGCTCTATCCACTATCCTATCTCTACAGTAAAGGCACAACAATAAATCTTTAGAAAAAGGTTTAATCATGAATGATGCGATCACAATCATACCTTTCCAAACTTTCCTTTAAATTACTTAATTGAATCATTATTCTACTAATTTGCAGTTTGACCCACCATCTTCCACTGGCTGCAGATTTGCACTGCGGGTTCACAACATTCTTCTCTGAACCATAAACAGCTCTATAGTTTACTAGAAAACCTGATTCTTTCCTGTGACTGGTTTAGAGTATTCATAATAACCACATCCACTGATCCATATTCCCCTCCACCAAGCCTTTGAACCACTTTACTCTGAAGCAATGCATGCAGGTACAAAAATATCACGCATGTTTGTAGACACCCACACAGTCTCTGAATCCAGCGCCCGTGCTTTTACACTTGTCATTGCACTCGCATGGTAAAAATACAGAGTTTGCACTTAGAGAGGCAGTGAGATGCAGCAGGAGACATTTGCACACAATACCTCGCAGCTTGTCTGTTCACAATTAGATGGTAAAATGGGGCAACAAGTTGGTGATAAGCGATGGACATTGCCCAGTCGCTCCAACATTTGCCGTTAATTCAATTCAGAACAACATGTAAGTGGCATATAGATCAACCAATAGTAAGGTGAAGAACCTGTGACTGAATGAACGAACGAATAAAACAAAATGACATGATGGAGCGATTTAAAGACCATCACGTTTTGGAGAGCATCTTCTAAATCAAGGCTGCAATGATGGATTAGGCATTGGTTTCTAATTTAAGGTTCAAGAATGTTTGCTTTACACCCACACAGACACAGTAAGAGTGACGCATACATGCACAGTTATCAGCCCCGTGCTCCCTCGCCCTGAAACACCACCTCCAGATCAGTGTTTGTCTTTCCTGCTGCTCCCGGCTACACAGCTCAGCGTTTGCACTCCTCAGGGGGACGAGAAATCTATACAAGCCTCTCCTGGAGCCCATCAAAGGAAACTCAAAAGAGCCTTACACATAAGTTTGTTTGCCTGGACTTCAAATCCCACAATGCCACAGCGTGAACTCCATACACCACGATCTGAAACCACAGTTTGTCAAATTATTTTCTTTGTGAGTAACAACAGCAAGCTTAGTGTAAAATCCAGTCGTAAAGCTGAACAACACATTCAAATACTGCAGGGGAGAAAAGCCCTCTCTAGAGCTTCTCACTTACAGAGAGGGCTCTGTGAGCTTCAGCCACCACTGAGAAACAGTCTACAATTTTCTACAAGCATTTGTTATCTGAAAAAATATGTATTTGGGGGGACTATATAAGAATTTAACTTGTGTGTGTGCTTGCAATACTGAATGTAATAACATGTTTTATCTCTCACTTGTTTTTCAGGATAAGAAATCATCTAGACGTACATGATCCCAGGAGGATGAAAAACAAGAGGGTACAAAAATAGCGCTAAAAATGCTGGAGAGGTCGAAAATGAAAAGGGCTGCAGTACAGAGAAATAAATAGAACTTTGGAGGATGTGTGAAGTAAACACTTGAGTGAAAATAGTATGGGCTGGCTGTGTCTAAATGCTGGTTGCTGGAAGAAGAATTGCCAAGAGATTTTTAAAGCAATGGGGAAGAAAACCTGAATCAGGTGCTGTCATCATTCATATATACCCATGCATGCACAGACAGTTGACCTCTTTCTCTCTCTCTCTCTCTCTCTCTCTCTGAAGCTGATGAGATTCTGCTCTCTTGGTTTTGCTGCAGAGTTTTGTTATGTTGCATGGAGCTGCCAAGGTCTCAGGCACCATTTAGAAATCTGTGCGGCGTGCACTCGGTGAGGTCCTTGTGCACGCCTGTACACTCTCTCCCGCTCTCTCTCTCTCTCTCTTTCATGCACAATTTTTTGAATAAATATAAAATCAATAAACACAGGTTAGAAATATACTTGGGCAGCCATAAATACACCTGGAGGGTAATCTTGTATGTGTGGGAAACACTGGGCTCATTTTTGTCTTTGTACTGTAGTGACAACTAAATTTCCCCTCTAGGGATCAAAAAGGATTATCTTGACAAGCATCCATACTATTACAGATGTTGTTTCTGGAGCTTAATACAGCAACATTTCGATAACACCAACTAAGACAGGGACAATCAATGCTACCAAACCCACAGATAAATAAAATAGGGTAAAAGAGCAAAGCTTAAATTTGCAGCAGCTTTACTTTTAATCTGCAGGAATTTTCCACTTTATGTTTCAAGAGATAGACAGTAAAGGTCACAGTTCATCTCAGCAGATTGCTCTACAGTCTCAAGTGGCTCTGGAGTTTGTGGTTGCCTTCCTCACCGGGTGACCTGCAGACTGCTGTGTGTATGTGTGAAATATATTTTGTTTGTTTTGATGTGTGTGTTAGTGTGACTTCCCAGTGCAGCCTTTGAAGCCGCTCCATTTGGCTTTTGGCCCCATCTGTAGTCAGTGTGTAAAACATGCTGTGGTTCTTATTACACCAGGGTCACACTGGGTTCAGTGTAAATCTGCCTCATGTTTCCCTCTCTCACGATTTCTTTCCTTCAGGCTCTAAATTGTGCATTTTCACACAGGAATCTAATGTGTTGTAACCACTCAGGGAGTGTGTTCAGAGGCAAATAGTCTAACGACTGAGGATAGACTGTAATCAATACATTCATTCTTTCAAAGTGAAAAGCATAGGGATTGTTTGCATGTGATGAAGTTATAGTTAAAATAGAAACATTCAAAAGACCTGAAATTACAAGGTGAATGTACCAGCTAAAAACTGTGTAAATCAGCTTAAATGGCTGACAAGTATTGTCAGCAGAAGATATGGGACAGTAAAATTCTTGTAAACTGTAAAAGGAGCAGAAGTTAGCAGCTAAAGAGTACTTAACACTAGTAACAGCAGTTCATCTGTCAAAAACTATGAAGGAATAGGTCAGGAAGCATACTTCTAAGCAGAGGTGGGATAAAGTCCTTGCTTTGCAAGTCACAAGTTGGTTTCAAGTCTTTGTTCTCGGGTCCAAATTCAAGTCACAAGAAAAGACAGGCAACTCCTGTGTCAAGTCCAAAGTCATGATCTTTGAATTTCAGTCCTACACAAGTCATTAGCACTCTTCACCAAATAAAGTGCCAATTTAACAAAGGAATAATCTGTAATATTAACACAAATCATTCAAGATTTTTGGATGATTTGATTGAGCCTACTTCTTAAAATAAAACAACAACACCGGTGTGACTTTTTTTTTTTTTTCCCAAATTCAATTTTACCCTTTTTTAATTTTTCTGAATTCTGTGTTTAACGATGTGTTTAATTGAATCAAATCACAGATTAAAGTCATGGATCATTTTAATCTATCACTTCAGGAAATTGAAATATTATAAAAAAATGTATTCCCTATTATTATTTTTTTAAAGGTAGTAGTGCCCAGGCTAACCGCTCCCCCTGATTGACAGTCTGTCTGGAACAGTTCACAGACTACAGCAGGCTGTGGGATAACGTTACTATGGTTACGTTACTGATTGTAGATAAAAGAAGACAGATTGAAAGTGAGCGGATAAAAGTTGAAACAATCGTTTGACCGGATCATGTGCATTCCCGACCATAAAGGTCTGTACAGATCATGGCTGTGTTCTGTTGTGCTAATGGTAAACAGGTGTGCTTGATAGCTGGCATTCCGGTGCGTGTGTGTGTGTGTGTTTCAGCTCGCCCCTGCAACATGCAGACAGAAAAGGAGCAACCAAAAAACATTTTCGTCCGTTCTTTCCGCATCACAGAAATCACAGGGCTCTAAAATAACAAATTTAAATCTCAAGCGTTTTCGAGTAATTAGGCTCAAGTCCAAATTTAGTCACGAGTCATCTGAGTTTAAGTCCAAGTCGAGTTGTAAGTCCTTTATGATATTGTCAAGTCCTAAATCATCAAATCTGTGACTCAAGTCCAAGTCACATAACTCAAGTCAACACCTCTGCTTTGAAGTGACTGAGTAAGGTTTATCTTTTAAATCATTAAACGTGCATGCAATTGATAACAATACGAATACTAATATACTCTTTATAATACCTTACTTTCAAAAGAAAGGATGAAGTTATTTGTTGCTGCTAAGAGTGTTAAGCGGATCATTTTATTGACTGTTGAGCCTTGAAGAAGAAGCTTCTGAAGACAGTAAGATTAAGATTTTGAAACATTTAAGAATCGCATTGTATCCAAATTTGATTTTTTTGTAGGGGAAAAAGTTGCCATGTTAGATTTCTAGACACTGTAATGGGTAAAGCACTCGTCTCCTCACAGAGAGATGGCAGTTGGCCAGTATGAAGTGTCCAGGGGCCTGACCTGTTGTTGAAGTTGGTGCAGTAGGTGAGGTCCTTGCAGCCCAGCTGACACGGTTCTCTGACATCAGCCAGGCAGTTGATGAGCTCTGTCTCCACAGGGTTGTACTCACAGAGCTGGTCAAAGTCCTGCCACGTCTGACTGCCCCAGTTAGTGCTGATCTCCTGACACATGTCCCTGTCAGAGCAGAGCACAGTGTGTGTTAGTGGAAGAAAACACATTTCACCTCAGTGCGACTCTACACTAGAGCACTTGGTTCTGAGCTGCTCTAGCACAATGACCCACCACCTACTCCTCAAAAGAAATTGCGACCTAAGTTACAGACATTTTTTAACCATTCAGATTTATTTCATAGAAATTGATGCAGTTTTGCAAAAGAAACAGAACAAAACAAATTTGTTAAAAAAAGCACTTCATAGGGGGTGCTGCGTGGCCTGGCGGTTGTGTGGGGCACACCCATGTGCGGAGGCTGTGGTCCTCATTGCAGCAGCAGTGAGTTCAGGTCTGATCTTGGTCGATTGCATGTCATTGCCCACTTTCTCCTCCCAACATTTCCTGTCTCTATTTAGCTTTCAGATTAATAAACCCCTAACCCAAAATGCCCCCGGAAAAATAACACCAAAAAAAAGATCTTCATAGACTTTTCCAGGGACACATTTGCGCTTCACTGAAAACCTCTCTGCGTCCCACTTTTGGGTTTCCAGTTCAGAACCCCTTCACTAGAGTATATGACATTGATGTACTAGCTCACACTAAGCAGTGGATGTCGGCACGCTGTACCTGCAGAGGGAGGTGTTAGCTTTGGCGCAGCAGTGCAGCTTTGCACAGTCCATCTTAGCAGGGTGGGGGGTCTCCTCTTCAGGTGGGGAAGGAGGGTGTGCGCTGCCCAGAAAGCACTGCCACATGGGCTCCTGAGGGAGAGGCTGGGAGCCACACTCCTCGATCAAACCCTCCATGATCTCGTGCTCTGTGCTCATGGTGCGGAGTATCCTCCGGCATGCCACCTGGCAGTGTGTGGCCTCTGCTCGATCGCAGCAGTACAGACCTGGAAAGAAGAGACAGATGGCTGAGGAGAGCTGAAAATGGAATATATCATGAAATATTTGGCTCTCACCTCGTAAATGTACATATGAAAAAAGAAAAATGGATCCCTTGTGAAAACACAACATGTTTCTGTAGATAATCTTCAGGATAGAGATGCTTTTTTTAACAGAGTTTTTGGCTAGAAGATATTTGTAACGTCTTTGTGATATTCATTTCAAATGACAGCCTGATTCTGATGTCAAAGTGATAGAAAATCAAGAAGTTTCCAAGCCATAGTTACAGTACATTTAGACCGCTGAGGTGAACAGTATTATCCAGTAGGAGGCTCCAATCTGCTGTCTTTACCAAGTGAATCACTTACAGAGATGAATTTAATAAGTGATAAAAAGGAAATATGAAAAGGGACAAATTGCCAGTATGCCTACAAGAGGTTAAGGAGAACTTTGGACATTAATTCTCAGTCAACTTACGCCTCGATGAGCTCCTAACTGTCAATGCCGATGGCCTTGGTTTTTCAAAATGGTTCAAGAACTGTTCCAGACAGTAATAGAAGTAGTCCCTATAAAACGTGTTGATAATGTATTGTGTAATTTACCCAAAATAACAGCAGAGGTGTTACTGGAAAGAAATGATGTCAGTTTTTTATTGTGTGTTAAATGATTAAAGCAACCCAAACAGAATCGCATTAACACCGGCCGCAACTGATTAAAGTAAGCTGTGCAACAAACGTATCTAAAAAGCTGGAGGAACACAAACAAAGCCTTTGCTCAGAATACACCGAGGTAAACCTAGAGCCCCTGTAAACTAACAGCATAAAAACACATGAACCTGTGATGCATTAAGGGATCCAGTGTTGCTGTTCAAAGCACGCCTGGAGTGTGAGCTGTATGGCTGCAATATTGATGCACTTACTGTCTATAGGGCTGCGTATAGGGTAGGACTTGGTGAAGTTGCTGACACAGCCGAGCAGCTGAGTGCTGTGACTCTGGCAGTACTCTTTGACAGCGTTGATCTGGGACACGGTGGGGGTGGAGTCGGTCCTGAAGATGGCCTGGCAGTACTCCCTACAGGTGGTGTGACGCCCTGCGTAGCTGCAACATGTGGAGCCCACTGGAGGAAGATGTACGCAGGTTAAAACACACAAACACACACACATCCAGTGGTGAGTCTGCCCATTATTACAACTTGTTATGACAGAGCATGCTGCTGCTTTTGTTATGATGGTGCATAAGTTCCTCATAATGATGCCTATGACATCATATTCATAGGAAACCATCCTATGTTGATCTGAAAATCTGTTGCAAAAGGTGTTAAATACTATTATTTGAAAAGGCATAAACATTATTCTAATAGGCAAAAAGATAGGCATTTTGATTTGAAAAGACTTGAAAATAAGGCTCGGAATAAAGGACACATTTTGATGATAATCTAACATGAAAAAAAATACAGAAAAATACAGAATACATGCTGAATTAAGTTCTCTAATGCGTATGAGCTATATTATTTCACCAGGCCAAGGACTGGCATATGATTGGCTGTTGAGTTTGTAACATAAAATAAATCTCTCAGTGCACTATCAACCCATCATCAAGCTCGGTCAGATGAGTTTAAATGTCCAATATTGAGAGATTCACCTGAAAACACACTGCTAGTGCAGCCTTATGGAAGTCAAATGAACAATGCACGATGCATGCAAAAGTGAACAATACTGCACTGAGCACATAAACCCCTCACCTCTCACTTGTTCTTAATACCAAGCTAGGCTTCGGTAGGATACAATTTTAGATTCAGTATAGAGACATCAGAGTGATAACCCTTTCCCTATCTAACTCTGTGTAGAAGGCACACGTATAAAAAACATTATCTGCTTGGTCCATGCCAGGATTGCAAGAAAATAAAAAAGAATGCATTTCTTTGGACAACATCCACTGCATTTAAAGTCAGTGGATGTCAGCATACCTTTAACTGTTGACAGCTGTCTTTTAACTGACGCATATCTACTCTGCATCAAACAGAAACTATCATTATTATTATTATTATTATTATTATTATTATTATTATTATTATTATTATTAAGCTTTGTTTTACTTTTGGTTCCTCATATTTTTTCACTTACAATGGATTGGCCTGTGCGCTGTGTGTACCTTCAGAGATCTGACCTTCAGGCAGATAAACACTCCATGTATTTTATTATTCTTTCTAAAGCTGCCTGAGCAACATTAGACCTCTCAACAGGAAGTAACTGACCTATCATCCTGCCAAGCAAATAACAAGACTCTGCTGTATGAGTGTGTGTGCATCTGTGAATGTTGTGTATTCACAGTCTGTGAGACTAAGACCAAGAGAGAGAGGGACAGAGGAAGAGGAAGATGCCTTTATTTTGTTACAATATTGGCGCTCTTAAGGGTCCTTATTTATGTCTTGGCTGGATTGACATTACAGATAAATAAAGTGTTGGCTTCCTCACTCTGTGTGCGTGTGTGTGTGTGTGTGTGTGTGTGTGTGTGTGTGTGTGTGTGTGTAAGAACTTACTTTCATTTTTGGTGATGCAGCTGTAGAGGGATGTCTAGAATAAGAAGAGAGAAGCTGTGGTGATACTGACTCCAGCTGTTAGACTCTAACTCAATATTTCATCATAGAATAAAGCAACAAATAAACTACAGCTCCACCTCAGGGGTTCTCAGTCTTTTTGGCTAATAAACGCTCAAAATGTCTTAATGAAAAGCAACATCCCAATTTAAAAATGTCACTTGATAACACAAATGTTTAGCTACATATAGGCCATCTTTCACTCTACAGCATTTTAGAAGCCCTCAGTGTCAGCAGGCTTTTGGAAATGCAGCTGACTGCGTTTCAGTTCGCCAACTCTAGGGTTGCTTTTTAGTTTGAAGAAGCAAAAACTGAGACTACTAGCATGACAGTTTGGGTGTTTTCCCGTATGCACAAAACTACAGAAACTATCCTGAAATTTTCTGGGTGAGCGTCATGTGTAAAAGCAAAATGCCACATTTTTCAACCAGACATTACCCAGATTTTTTCATGCCAGCCCCCTAGTCAAATTTTGCCTGATTTAAGAGAGTACACAACAGGAAACACTCAGGAAAAATTAACCTTGGGCAAGTTTGTGAGAGCGGTGACACATCACACATGCAAAGCGTGAGTGGGGCGATAATTGTGTAACACATGGCAAACAACTGTCATTATAATGTTAGAATTTGTTGCTTCATCTTTCTTGCCTCCTGACCGCTCCCCTCTGCCCAACAGGTAAAACTTCATGCAATGAGGGACATGGGTCAATAAGCAACCGAGGAAGATTTTTAGGGATTGCAGGTTGTCCTGAAGTTTTGATCAGGAGTGCAGGTGTGATAACTGCTTTGGCTAGTTACTGTTTGCAATGGTTGCAAAGCATCCGTGACATGTGCAGTAGACGACATTCAAGTTCTTCAATTGTCATCTTAAGTGTGACATTTAACATGCAGCCACTGAATTCATTTGACTTCTCTAAGACCCTTGTACTCACCTCTGTGACTTTTTTGCATACTTTTGTTATGTCATTTTTAGATGTAGCCTGTTAGGGGGGAAAAGAAAAGACATTAAAACAGGTAAACTCTCATAAAACACATAAGAAATTCACAACATTATTAAAGCCTTGGTCAAACTATTTTTGGATAGTCACAGTCAAGAAAAAAGCTGGATATTTCTTTCTCACCTGTCTACATTCCCTGCGACACTCAGATGAGATAGCCAGCTCACAGCAGCCCAGCCCCACCCAGCCGTCTGACTTCCTGGATACACCTGGAGACAAATCAAACACCACAGAATCAACTTGCTATACGTGTGCCAATTTTAAGGGTGGTTTGCCTCTACACCAAATGATGACACTGGCACTGGCTGTTGTGTTTCCCACTGTTAAAGGTCTTCACCATGTTTTTTTGAACACCGATATGTGTCCCTAGTCTGTCTACAAAGCCCCTTATAGTGAGAAAAGTCAATCCTCTCCATCTTTTGTCTGCTCCACTTTTCAGAAAATGTGTCTTCAAACAGGCCAGTTGGAGATTTCCCCTTCATGGCATCACAAAAGGCAGTAACCCCTCCCCCAGGTGGGTGAAACTCCCACAGCTAGGTGTTTGTTCTGCCCTTTGAGTCTGCCTTCTCACCACCAGAGGGGCGTGGTCAGACACAGCTCACTTACATTTAAAGCTACAGACACAGAAACAGCATGTTCTGAGCAGGGCAGGATCTAAGCGGATTGATTGAATGTTGACTTACAGTGACAGTAATGGTGCTTAGGTTGGTCTATTACCCATCACTGCTGATAAATGACTAATTTCTAATTATTAAATGTTTAGATTATGTTTTTAATCAAATGTGTATTTATAAGAAAAAAGGCAAAAAACATGGCCTTCTGCACTCATCTCAAATCATCTTATTTTTTGACTTTCTAATATTTCTCTCTAGCAGCAGAGTGTACTTATACTTCAATAGTTACTAGAACTTCACATTTTTCATGCGAGTGTGGCTCATAGGGGAAAAGAAAAGGAAAAGTCAGAGCACAAAGACCTCCTCTATCTTTAAGATCTATTGTTTGGAAGTGTTGTGATTTTTCACTTGGATACAGATGTTGGATACAAAATGTGCGATGACTCACTAAAATATGGGTGGACATCCAGATCTAGAAAGACACACTGAACTCTGTACAAAATGAATACACATTTAAGCTTCATCAGATATCCAAAACAGGCTGATGAATTGACTCTAAGATTAGTAAAAATCTACTAGTGGCTCCAAGTGTTTTACAGTAAATTGAAAACCAAATTAGATAATTCACTTGTTTTTAAAGGACATTTAAAAAAATGTATATTTGAAAAAGCTATTGTCCACTAACGGTTTTCAATTTCAGACCGCTTCTCAGAGGCGCCTACTGTTGCTAGGTACAAAAGTTAGATCACAGCACTCTGGTTTCCCTCGGTAGTGACTGTAAGGTCCATTTTTAATTGCTCTGTATGCTTAATATTTGCATTTTTTTAAGGAAATTCCACCAATAAATCATAAAAAAAACAATGTGAAGGAATCGTGTTCAGGCATTAGCAGCAGCTCTAGAATTTTTAAACACAAGTAAAATGAGTTTTGTTTCTGCCACTGCTGTTCTCAAAGTTGATATTACAAGTCCGGCTGTTTCTTGATTTTGCTAGCTCATGGAATAGCAAAGTGGTGATCCAAAAGTTTAACTTTTTTCAACTAAGAGCACGGGGAATTGCAGCTACAAAGAAAAACACGAATGACAAGGACGTTCTTGGGCTTAGGGTGCTAAGTGCTTAAAATGCTGAACTGAACTGCACTGGTTTTTTATAGAAAATGGGTTATACCAGGGGGAAAAAACTGTTACCGGACAGAGACCCTACAAAGGTTAGAGATTTTGGACAAAACTTTAAACTTTAAACTAATCAAATTTAATTCGCTTACCTATATCAAATATGCTAAAATCTCAGAGTGTACAGCAGGGCTGCACTTGGAGTAAAAAGTGGCCGTAGTTATTTTGGTTCAGACCGATTTTTGTCCCAACATTGCTGCTGGTGGTCCAATGACTGGCACATGCACACACTTCCAACTTTTAAGTCTGGTTCATAATACGAATCCAAGCCATAGAGCTTCAGTTTAATGTTATCATGTAATTTGATGAGCTTTGATAAGATCCTCTATATTGTGCAAGAGTTGCATGGAGGCATTTTGAGAAGTGAAGGAAATCATTAATTGAAGTTGGCATGTTGGGAGAAGTGGTTACACAAACAGAGTAAATCCCTTAAAGCTGCTGGAATGCAGTGAACTCAAGAGAATTGATGATATCTTTTACAGGATGTGAGGGAAGATAGTTTCTTAACAGGTTAAATCTTTACAGACTCCTGAGGCTGTCTGGACTCCAGTGTTCATAGAGTACAGAGAGGTAAGAATAACAATGCTTCCCAATCTGGAGGCTATCAAGCTACTGACAGGTACATTTGTTCCAAGCTAAGGCAGCAGCATGTAGGCCTTTGATCTACTGCCTGCTTTCTGCTCGGGTCACTCCACACAGCTCTAACAGCTACACTTGTTACCATCCCCTCAAAACCAAACCTACACAGTAGATACAACTTCTATTGGATTTCATACTTCATGTCAGTTTAAGAGTCCAAATGTTTCCTTTTGATTTATTTTAAAGAGGTCATATTATGCCCTTTTTGGGGTTCATATATTTCATCTATGTACCTACTAAAGTATGTTCACAATAGCTAAACTTCTAAAAAAGTGTCTGTTTTCATGTACTGCCTCTCTGTGCACCGGCTCGCTTCTGACTCTCTCTCTAAGGCTCTGAAGTGCCCACGTTCAGAGTCCCCACGTGTGCCAAGTCTGATCTGATTGGTCGGCCTGTCGGCTCTGCCGTAATTGGTCAGTCACTCAGCACGGTTCTCGGAAATGTCCTCTTTTACCATATTGGGAATGCAGCCACTTTGTCTCCGAAGGGAGCAAAAACATTAGCACCTTAGCACTACTGTGCTACTGCAGGCTGCGGCATATCGTGGGCGTGCTACAGAAGTTCATGGGCAAGCAGACATGAGCTGCTCGGCTTGCCACAACAAGCCAATGGGCTAAGATCAGTGATATCACACTGACAAGACGTCACACTGACAATTTTTTTTCGAGGGGGGCTAGAACCGAGCGTTACATGCAGCTAATGCTACAGCTAACAGGAGGACGTAGGAGAAGCTGCGTTTCTGCGGACTTGCACATAGATGTGCATAAACATCCACAGGACACATGGAAAACACACTAAAGAGCATATAAAACCATAAAAAGCATAATATGACCCCTTTAAGTGCATTTTTCGGGTTCAAATACATGTGATCTGATCAATCAGGAATCCCTCCAAGTCCCTCTTGAATTTCTGCAACCTTTGCATCGCATTATTGAAAGAGTGAACTACTAACCTGATTGTTTGTCTTAAGTAATTTATTATTTTCACTTTTCTGTGGCCACATGACAAGCTGATCATTACTCATGTGGGGCATATGAAAGCCTTGAAGCGTGATTGACTAATAGTCAAACAAACAAGCAAAAATTGCAAATAACCACATACCTGACCCTTTATTTACTCTCTTTTTACCTATGGTTTGGTCTCCACCACCTTCTGAGAAAAATATCTATCTAGCCTTGAAAAGGGTCTGTCTGTTTCTCAGTGGACTATTTTGGTGTTTGTACACAGTGATGACGTGTTTGTTGGCAGAGCCCAACTGGTGGCTAAAAGTGAGCCAGCCATAGCTTGCAGTCAAGTCCCATCAAAAAATGATGGACCATCTGGAAGCAGAAAACAATTTGTCTTACAGTAATTCAATGGTGTGAGGTGTCCTAACCCATACTCACTCGAGTCAGTGGGTCAGGGATCCATCTAAATGACCAACCTTACAGTGGCCGGTGTTGAATACTGGATAGCTTTGTTTCTTTGTGTAGATATTGGGTCTTGCCCAGGACATTGAGTATCCAGATTTGTTGGATGATTTATATGTATTTGGCAACATATAACATCTACCAGAACCATTTCTATTTGCACAAAAGGACGGGACTTATAGAGATACTTTTTTGCAAACTCTTCAATACATTAGCTTAGGAATAATGATCTGTTGAACAGACGTTGACAGAGGATCTAAAAGTCAAACATCATGGGCCTCATGCCAAAGTCAGAAATGTGTCTCTTACCTGGGAGTGTAGAGTTGATGCACAGCCAAAGTTCATTCTAGAATACAAAAGGAATGAAAAGGTGTAAGTCAGATGTTACTTGTAAGTTTTATATTGAAGCTTTCCTGAAACATGTTTAGGTATCATATTGTAAAATGTTTCTCATTTTTCATACAATCTGATTGTTCGAAAAGCTACAAAATGCAACTTTCCGATCAAACCAGTAAAAATGTGTGGTTATAACAGTGAACAGGCAAAAGTTGTTGACTTAAAATAGGTTCTCAAATGATCAGATGGAGTACTTGGATGTTAAACGCTTTGGGCGCAGGGACTATGGCTACACCCACAGTTCCATGAACAATCTTTGAGGATTGATTCAAGCCCAAGACTGAGGATTTGATAAGCCTCACTGAAACAGAAATGTTCAAGTTGGAGGAAGTTTGGTTGTTGGCGCTGAGGTGAAGCCACCATCGCTGAGTGAGACAAGCTGAACTTTCCATAATTGAAGCAAATAAGCTCTTAAATGTAATGTACCACAATTCAATTTCTGACATTTTCACTGGGATAAAGATGATTGTTTCAAAAGGACATGTATAAAATTAAGAGATTTAAGTAATTGCAGTGCATTCTTTTCAGTCACAAACCACAGCAATTATGGATTGCGGCTGGTGTTCTGCTCTGAACCCCACCACTTCAATACTTGAAACACCAGAGTTCATGATTGTGCCGCTGTTGATTTGCCTTTGGTTTGTTTGACCAACAAACACAATCAGCTGCTTTTCAAAAAGAACAGTATTGTATTGTCTAAAGAACATTGTCTCATGTCCATCTGTAAATGCTTCTCACTGAGTGTCAGTAGGAGATATGTGAAACAAACAAAGACATGTGCACCATGGCATGCAATCACGATATGCCATGACACCAAACAATTGGCATTGTACAAAATAATCTTTTGGTATTCCCCCCTTCATGCCAAACACGAGTTTATGTAAGTATACAGTTGATGTCCAATGGTACTTCACAATCATAACTATGTTGTGTTGTTTGTCTGTAGCATGGTGCACTGAACATATCAATAAATAATCAATCAATCCTCATCGATGGAATTCACAACCTTTGTTCGGTCGACATTGTGCAACTTGTTGTCCCAGAGGTCAGTACTGGATTGGAAAAGAAGTATTTTGTTTTTCTGCACCTACTGCTTGGAACAATTGACAGACTGGCTTTAGATTGCACAACTTAACCACTGTGTTTGTTTTTTTCATCAAAGAGAAATCTTTACAGTCCAGGCTATCTGTGTGTGAATGTTTTAGATGTCTATTTTCCTTCTAGTCTTTTGTTTGACCATTTATTGTAACAACCATGTGTTGCTCCAGTGTTTCCCACACACAGACGATACCTGGGCGGGCCACAAACTCTTTCCCGCTCTGCCCGTATGTGTCTCTCTCTCTCTCTCTCTCTCTCTCTCTCTCTCTCTTCAACGTGGGAAGGGTGGATGAGCGAGTTATTCAAAAGTTTGACCTGATGTGAGAAATATCACTTTGCAGAAAATATTATAGATTAATATCAATAATTAATGGATGATTAAAACTCTATACAACAACAAATAACGCTCACCAAGGCAGAGAGGGGAGAGTCTGTATGTGATGATTTCTTCAGGAGTCAGGAAGAATATAGTGTGAAGCTGTGAAATTCTCTGTTTCTATAATTTGAATTATTTATTAGTTACATTTCAAAACCTTGCACTCAAGAGAGTTATTAATGGCTGTTTGAATCTTTCTATGTGAAAATGTAAATGCAGAGAAATCAGTTCATGTTTATTGTAATTTAAAACCTTTTGTTTGTTTTAATTCACATATCACACTTCCACCATAGATGATGGCATACAAATAAAGGAGAATACAGAAATAAATCGTTTGACTCTCAAAATGTTCTAGTGGAGATCAGTCTGAGTGAGAATGAGAGATGGTCAGTTTATACAGTTTTCAAGATTTACGTGACTAACAGTAACATTCAGTGTTTTATTATAAAACATATCAAAGAACATTTCCAGGAACTGTTTGCTTTGGCTGTCAATTGTTAAAGAAAGAAAATCAGTATCGCTCAAAATTGGTATCAAGTCAGGTCAGGCCAGGCCAGATAAAAATTGGAAGTGCAAATCGGCCACAGAAATTTCGATCAGTGCATATCGAGTAGAAAGTCCAGCTTGGAAGAGAGCACGGGTATGTTCAAACTGAGTGCTTTTAACTGTGTACACACTCCATTTGCTCTCTTTTAAGCTTTGCAATGAAGTTTTGGCTCAGGTTTAATGGAATTTCAGATGTATACGTCATTACATGACGTTCTGACATGAAAAAAGATATATCAAGTCCATCCTAAGGGATTCTGTTAGGAGAATAACATTGTCTGGAATGTGATGAGAAACACTTTGGGGCTAGGGACAAGCTCATTATCCAGCACTTACTCACTTTGGAAATAATCATACTCAGCTATCGACTGGGAGTCGAAGAGACTTGAGAAATTGGTAAGAAGCTGTGAGAAGGTTCTCTAATTTCATACAGAACAAGCTTTACATTCCCCAGATCAAAACAGTGTAGAAAAACAGGAAAACAAATAAATCCCATGAAACTTCCGTTGGGTATGTGGTGAAATGTTGTGGGATTAATCATCACAAACAGGCCCTGGTGTCTCCTCTGAGTAAGGGAGACAGAGACACCGATATGTATGTGGAAAGAGATTGAATGATAAGAGTGGTAGAGACGAGAAATCCCTTTCCAGCTCTTTCGCTTTTACAGGACAGTCATTTGAATAAACACACGTCACTGTTAACACCCCCGACCCGTGTCTCTTGGCTGGGCAACAAAGGTTCCCGTCAGCGGGCGTCGGCATCATTTATGAGGCAGGCCGAGGAGTAACAGTTTCTTTACATGAAGCATAAACATGATTTGTGATGAAACAGGGGCCAATACAGCAAAAAACACGAACTAGAAGAGTTATGTTGCAGTTTAGACTAGCCAAAGCCCTCCTGTCTACAGAGAGACGGGGCATTTGTTCGACACAGCTGCTAAAACATTTTGTTAGAAGCTGCTTTCAAGTCAGCATCTTAACACAAGTCCCAATTAACAGTGATTATTTAATGCTGAAACTAAATTATATGAATATGGCTGAAACAATAAGGCTCCACTCCTTCAGGATGATATCAGTGGTAGAGCTGGGAATCCTTGGTTGTCTCACGATTCGATTCGAGTGGTCACAATTCAATTCAGAATCTATTTTCTTTTCAAAACGATTCTGGATTCATGATTCAAAGTCTATTTTTAAATTAGCACATACTTCAGGATCTACTCCAGTCATCTGTGAGACTGGCTGAATTTATAAGTTATGAATCTATCTAAAATCTCAGAAGATAAGTAATCTCGATTTCCCCCCCCCCCCCCACCTCACCAAAGTGAGTGGGGTCATAGGACAATTGAGAGGGGGGGTCGTGAGATACCTTCCATAACCAAATAAGAATTTAAAAAGATTTAAAATTGAATATTTTACCCATTAATACAAAAAGCAGCTATAGTCAATAAATAAGATTTATGCTGAAATATGCCCTCTAAAAAAATAAAAATACACACAGACATCAGCTGAGTGTTTGTTTATTAAATTTCCACTCAGTCCTCAAGTTTATGTAGGTTACTTGTTTTCTACTTTTCGCCTTTCTTACAATAAATTATGAAAGTAGGGACAGTGGCTGAAATGTTTGGGGACCACTGATCTATACCAGTAAGGGTCCGGGAAACAGACCCCCTCAACAGCACAGTGTGGCAGCTTTAAACCTAAGCACCAAACCTAATTATTCAACTAAATACACACTCATCTGTTTAAGCAATGTTAATGGAAAATCAAGAGTTTTGTTTTAGATTCACCTGAACACGTTTATTATTAACTCTTTGGCAGCCACAAAGTCCAATGTTGAATAAAACATGTGGCTTTATTGTCATGCATTGTGTTTGTTTTGTAAAAACATCAATAACAGCTGCTGAATAAGACCTGGAAACATGTTCAAATGAGAACAAGCATGTAAGACGGCCTCAGTCTAATTACTAATGTGCTTCTAATAGGCTGCTTGCAGATAGATGAATCAAGCACCAAGCCAACCTCGCTGCTTTATAATTAACCATGGAAGGAGGAAGGTTGACACGTGTGTGTGTGTGTGTGTGTGTGTGTGTGTGTGTGTGTGTGTGTGTGTGTGAGATTGTGTGGTTTAACCAGGTGCTCTAGAGTTTTGGTAACCATAACCACCGACCCACTTCCTGCAGATCTCTAATAAGAGAGTTGACACTAGTTTTAACTTTACATAGGCCAAGGGGTTAGCTGTAGCAACACAACACATAAAAACTTAAGAACGGAAATTAAAAAGTTTAGATTATTTTTGGAGTGGCACAGAGAGTGAACCTCGGCCATGTGCCGTCAATAATCAATAATCTATATCAGGAATCCAATGGCCTCCTGTATAAACTGTGTAGTTTAAAGACCTACGCTACTTTGTTTCATTGTTGGCCATAATGGCGGTACTTAGAGAGCCAACAATTTTCTGAGGTGGTACTCATCATGAAAAGTTTGAGAACAAGCCCCAGAAGGGAACTGAAACCTAGAATGTTTTACCAAATTTTGCTTTCCAACATCTTAGTGGTTGTCCCTTTAACCTAAAACTTTGTTCCTAACAACCTGTGGCTAATTCTTCATGTTACCATAGGTCAGAAAGACATCGACATGATCAGGGCTCTGTTTGTCTATCATTGGACACTTTAGCTGTATTAGTTGGTGAAAAAAAAAAAAAAAATAGGATGTTGCCATATTATTGTGGTTTTTAAAGTTACCTGTTCCTAAGGCTTCTTACTTAAGATCTTACACGCAGAGCTATCCTGTGCCTACTATTGTTGGCCAGAAACCAAAAGCTAACCTAAATGAAAAGACAACCTTCTGATATGAACCACTTAAACCAAAGCAAAACAACATGGATAACCCCTCATCACATCTTATCCAATCTTAACAAGCCAAGGCTCCATTATGAATCCATTTAAATCTTTCTCTGATGATTTTTATTGATTTATCTTATTGCATCCATTTGATTTCTAAAATATGATATCCATAATAGGTAAAGCATGGAAAAGTCTCTTCATGTGAATATAGAAAGTGTGGTTTGATAGAGGGAGTGGACTCACCATGGACTCTGGACAGTAACCAGGTAACCTCTGGAGGAGATGCTTTAGACGGGACTCACTCTTTATCGTAGCGAGCTGCAGAGAAAAACATAGAATTAATTCAAACAATCTAAAACCATTAATGTGCTCATTAAGCAGGAGTATTAAAATGGAAAACGTGAAGAACAAGTACGAGATGGTTTTGATCCAGATCCAACTGAAGGACGGGTTGGATATTTTAGTTTCCTCAAATTTAGAAAACCTGTACAAAACTACAAGGTCCTTACTTTATTTAAATACTAAAAGCAGGGTTGAATTCAAATTATTTTAATTCATTTGACTTTTTTAGAGATTTATTTTTAGCTTTTCTTTGGAGATAGGACAGTAGAGTCAGAAATGTGGGGAGAGAAAGAGAGGGTAGGTAATGTCACGCAGGAAAAGATTCTCAGAATTTAGATGCAGTAAACAATAAACCCACACAAAAATAAAGCACACACTCCCAGAATAAAGGACAAATGTTTTTTTTCTCTTATTAACAACACTCCAACAACATAACTAAAAAATATCTATAAATCTGATTTTGGACCAAAGACGCTCCCTAGAGTTTTCATAATTGCAACAACAATTTTCAGCTCCTCAAAAACCAAATTAGTTTTATTAGAAAATGAAAGAAAAATAACTCAACTTTTTTATTTTTTCTCCAAAAAAAAGTATAACAATGGGATAAGAGTCATTTAAAAAATCTATTACATAACTGTATCTCAGGCTGTCCCATTAACAATCCTCTTGTTGTAAACAAGAAGGTTTTTTCCATGCGATCGAATCAGGTAGGCCAAGTAACTTCAAGCTCCAATGAGGAGTTTTTTATCTGGATATGAAACAAAATACTGTTGCCTCTTTATAAACTAAATATAACCGTAGAACATGAGGCCACTGCTGTAAATCTGAAAATACATTTAAAATGAAGCATTTAGATCAAAGGTCAAACTTTCTATCGCTCTGATAAACACCTCTGATTAATTCTTCCCAGTACAAATGGTTCTTTAACTTTGTATTAGAGCCAGGCCGATTCATGATTTATCAGCCAGCCGATAATTTCATTTCAAACCTTTATGTAAGCCTCGAAAATCATTGAGGTTTCCCTCATTTACAATGATGTCGAGATACAGATCAAAAGGGGCACAAATAAAACAACAAAGACAAGTCAGGATAATTCTCATTACAAACAATTACACACTGTGGTAAAGTGGTTTGAGATCATTGTCTTAATCTGCGTGAAAGTGAAAGTGTCAATCTTGAGTGAGAGAGTGTTGTAAATCGTTCCACATTTTTGGAGCAAAGAAGCTAAAAGCAGACTTTCCAAGTTCAGAGTAAACCCGCTGGACTTGGAGCAATAGACAGTCAGTAGAGCGAGCGTGGTAGGGCCCGATGGTCCAGTTCAGCAGAGATGTTACACAAGATGGTGTACGTCCAATATCGGCCAATATTAGCATATCCAGTGACTATCTGTATGAGCTAATTTTATCGCAGATTTTGACGATATTACTATTTTTATTTCATTTATTTATTCACCAGTCAAATAGCATTTAATTTGAGTATCACTGTATCACACTAGCAGTTCTCTTTCACCAGCAGAGGGCGCTATATAGATTACAACAAGCATCATCACTCTACAGAGTGTCACTCAGTGATGCACGTACATGCACAGTCACTTTCCAGTTGAGTGACCATCTTATCTTCATTATGTATCATTCCACAAGTGTTTGATAACTGCATTAGAGGGATCAACACAATAAATGTGTATTTCAATATCTATCTATCTCTACAGACGTAGATGAAACATAGATCTAAGAAAGATATCGGCCAATATCGATATTGGTGTCCCATATCGGTCGGGCCCTACTTCAAATCACCTTAAAGACACCGACGCTTCTAAGATGAGGAACTGTGCTGATACCTCAGTGACATTGGAAATCACAGTGGGTAGAACCAGCAGCTCCTCACACATCCAACCCTTATAACCACATGGCAGAATATATCATGCTCATTTGAATCATGAAGAGAGTAAAGTGTGTTACACCTTTCCCCAAGTATTCTGTTGTTTTCCTACGCATGGGAATGTGTTCAGGCCATGGGAAAGTTTTGGAGAGTGCAGGCAATCCCAACACTTCTGAGATATGCTCACTTAGACGTCAACAAGGCATCCAAGTTTGTGGTGTGGCTCCACACGCACACACACACGAACACACACCCACCAAGCCATCCAAGTGTTGTGTGAACATACGAGGCGAGAGCCTGGGAGAATGCACCCACTGCCAACAGTCTCTGGCTGAAGTGTGAAGTCATGAAACCAAGTGAGTGAGATTTACAGCCTCGCACACTCAGACTGCTGGGAGGACTCAGTGTTTTTGTGGATCATCTATTTTCTTCCACAGCTATTAGGCATTACAGTGATTGCAGTGTATTGTTTGGTGTAGCACAGAGCAAGCTGGTTTGAGTGAAAAGACTCTAATAATCCCATTGTGCACTTACATCTAAGAACCAGACACACTCAGCGACTAGCTGTTGTAAAGATAAAGAAGTAAGAAGTTGGCGAAATAAGAGCGTAACCCCCAATAGACACATGACTTTTTGCGCCCTGCCCCCCTGGATCCGTTTCTGGAAGGTGAGCGCAGCAGAGCCTTGATCAGCTCAGCAAACACCACAGGAGAACTACAAGATCAAACTACATGTTGCTTTGTCTTTCTGACAATGAGTTGTTGTTTTTGTTTGATGCATGCCTGCAGCGTACTGCCGTCAAAAATAAACACCTATAGGGGAGCGCTGGTGGCGCAATGGTTAGGGCGCACGCACCATGTATGGTGTAAGATGAGGCTCTCATCTTGAGCGAGAGGCCCGGGTTCTCATCCCGCCCGTGGCCTCCTTCTGCATGCCATTCCCCACTCTCTCTCCCTGATTTCCGACTCTATCCACTGTCCTATCTCTCTGCATTAAAGGCACAAAAGCCCAAAATAAATCTTTAATAAAAAAATAAATAAATAAACACCTATATTTGAAACGGAGCAGAGCATAGTGAGCTGGTGGCACGCTCCAGAGACGGACGCGGCGCTCGCTGACGCACCGCACTGCATCGCGTATGTGGATATTGGGAGTAAATATTGAATTTGAAATCCTCAGGATGACACATGACTGAATGCTTATAATGCTATGCTAGCTCTGTATCTGCTGGTGGTGGCAAACAGTTTGCTGAACAAACAAAGTTTTGTTGTTGAACCTTTTTTTTACTGCTGCAATTTTGCTGGCATAGTCCACACTTACAGTAACGTTGTATGAATTCAGTTTCTTCTTATCTTTACCTTGAGGATGTTTAATTTTGAAAGATGTGTTATTAATTATTTTCTTTATCACCACATTGATTTTGAGCTTTTTTCCTTCAAAGATAACTCTGCAGGGGCTCATATTGACATTTGCTTAAATAGTTCTTTGTTTGATCACACTGAACTTAGGTTTTAAAACAGTAACTTTATTCAATCCTCCTCCAACTTCTAGGAATGAATAATTAAAACACCTGAAACTGAAGGAACTGGCTTCATCCAAGGCGTTTAAGGTGATTTTAAATGGCTTGGAGGCAGGAACACCTGGCTGTAAATGTGCTGTGTAATATGATTTTGACAAGGAAAATCAAAATGGTGTTAATTTGGACTGAAATCCTTTCCAGATTGAGTTGATTTGAAGAGCCATTTACTAAATGTTCTCAACAGAAATCCATTTATGTCCCTTTTCATATGTACAAGTGAGCGCCACACCATGTAGGCCTTTAAGGACTAGGTCTTATGTGGGCCATTTTGGTTGAACAAATAACCACCAGAACCTTTGAAGACCCGGGTTATTTTCCGGGTACGACCAGGCACAAGGCAGCTTCCAGTAGAGCTTAATACATCGTAGTGATTACAACGTGTGACACCAACGCCCCTACACCCCAAACCAAAGAACCCACCCATACTCTGAACCAAACGACCACCTTTGAAGGCTATTTTGAAGCCATTACACTTCTAAAAGGCCATTATCTTCTCTCCACAATCTTTATCATCTTGATCACTCTCATCTCTTCATTTGTCTTCCACTTTTTCACTCTTATAAAATGTCCCTCCCATTTCTCCACATCTTTTTGTCCATCTTCATCTTTTATGTAATGTCTTTTTCTGGGTTTCCTTCTTCTTTTTTTTGGCTAGCAAAACGATGACGTCAGCCAATAAAAGGACAATAAGTTCTGGTCAACCTCCCTCTTCAGAGTATACTTCAAAAGCTGGAGGGAGGTTTGAACTCTCAGCCTGTTTGTTCGGAGAGCAAAGCTTCTTTACCATCTCTTTTGTGTCTCTTTGCCGCAAAGGAGAACATGGGAGCTTCAGAGAGAGAGAGAGAGAGAGGGGAGAGAGAAAAAGAGAGAGCATCACCTGCTCCCAATTGAAACGGAGTGAGACAGAACTTTTATTCAACACTTCAAAGCGCATAGAAACAAAAAACTTAACACCACTCCCCTTCAAAATCCTCTATTCATAGGCCGACCATAATGGGCTGAGCAGTTGGCTGTTGTGTGTGTGTTCAAGTGTTTCTGTGTGTGTGTGTGTGTGTGTGTGTGTGTGTGTGTGTGTGTGTGTGTGTGTGTGTGTGTGTGTGTGTGTGTGTGTGTGTCTGTGAGTGTGTGAATGTTTTTTTTCACCTGGTCACAAGCTTCTTTGCAAGGGGAGAACTCGGCAGCATGGTGGCAACAGGAGGGATCTGCAAAGAGATGGACCAGGTTAGCTGTTACATCACTTTTAGAGCATTACCATTGGTTTAAAGTATCGGGGGGGGTTGGGGGGGGTTGGCCCCTGCCCAGACATCAGCATCCCCCCTGTCAGGTCTCTGTGCCTCCCTTTGGTGGTCATGCCCCACAGATTGAGAGCCCCTGCTTTTTAACTATTAACTTGTGACTCACAAATGACTGCAGAAATTATGACTGTCTAAAAAACGGATAAAAGTAATCATTGTTCAAACTGCGTCACACTGTAGTTTGATGTGAAATACTGTGGCAAAGACTTGTTTGTACACACAGAGATGCAGCACAACATTATAAATAATATGTACGTGTCTCACAGCAAAACCAGAGTAATAAAGACACACAGACAGGGGATGTTGGCTAGCAACTAGGCTCCAAACCACAGCCCAGCCCAGGGTTCCAGTAAGTGACTTGGCTCAGTTTGCTGTCAACTGCTCAGTTTGCTGCTTCCCCCTCCTTGTAAAGTGGACTTTCAAACCAGACACTTTAACACACTAATACTGAGCCACACTCTTCCAGTGAGGAACAGAAAGATTACTCAAACATGCACTCAATGGAACAGTTTTCTGTTATCAGTCCAGTCTCTCTGTTTCTACTCGTCTTTTGTTCATGAAGCTCAATAATACAGAGTTCATCTAAAAAAGTGAACTCTATTTATTTAGAGAACATATATCTTATATCTGTTTCTGTTGTCCAACAGCAGCACAGGTGAGAAGTATTTGTAGACTCATGCTAACGGCAAAATAATGTGTTATAATTCTAAAAAAAACAAAGTTCACATCCATACAAATACACCTACAATCAAATCTCATATGAACATTTACCTGAACAGGGCAAGCAACATTTCTGGTCACAAAGTACTATAAACAAGCTCAGCAATGGCCAAAGTTAAGACCAGCATTGAATACTAGATGTGGTTTCCACATGTAGCAAAGTTCTAGTTTTTTAAACAAGAATGTTTAACTGTATGGAGCCATATGATAGATACTTCATGCCACCCAAGCCTAAGGATTGTTGTTGTGCTTCTGCATTCAGACCCTCAACAGAGAGCAGGAAGTTATCTTTACCTCTGTGCTTGTACACTATGTTGCTCTTTGTTAGAATAAGATGGGCTATACATATAAGGCAATGACTGTATTTTCAGAGTGAAGGACCAATTAGGTAACAATGAATCTACTTCATTTGATTCAGAATGAATCTCAGTTCAAATAATGGAAGGTGGGCACTTATTGTCTCATTGTCTCACCGCAGCCCAAAATAAGGTGAACCTCACAATTGTGATGGGTAGGTTAATAACATTTGTTATTGTAGCTTACTTATCACTGGTGTTGATTGAAGTAACTGTGTTGATAAGCAGAGAAAGCAGGACTTTTTCTTCTGTTTTCCATTTGAAATACGCTCTTAATCTTCTCCCACCTGACAGGATTAATAGCATGAAACATTACACTGTGACAAAAGCTAAATGTGTTTTTTGTTTGTTTGTTTTCCAAATAAACAGAGTTGTTCACTGTGGGCAGGAGTCAGGGGAAAAAGTAAAAAGTGAAAAAAGGAAGTACGCTTCTCTTTTTTGTTACTAAGGTTTTGTCCCGTTTGTCAACTTTGAAAATCTCCCTCTGTGCTGCAACATACAACCAGTGAAGCCTTTTCACAACTACATCGCTCTAGAGTCGTAGGGCTGTTGAAATGAAACCTTACTTTACTGTACAGAGATGACTAAAGTTTGGTGACGACTGAAACTATATGTTCGATGTTTGGCCTTTAAGTGGTGGAGGTGCAGGTTCTCAGTCATCCAGGTTATGGTAAATTTGGAGCTTGATCCAAAGGCAACTGGACTGGTTCCGAAGCGATGCAGTTTCAACTTCACTAATCAAGTTCCTCCACCCAGCAGCGCCCTGTCTGTATGAATCACTGTTTACATTATGAGACTTAAAGGAAAATGATTGTACTTATTGTCAGGCCTGACACAGTCTGATGAAAACCATGACACCACTGTACTCTCTTATCAGTGTGTGTGTGTGTGTGTGTGTGTGTGTGTGTGTGATTGTTTGTGTGCAGCAGCACAGCAGCAACCCCTCCACCGCTGTGTCTTAAGCCGCCTGACACAGGGGTTTCTGAATTCAATCACTGAGTCTGTTACATCTCTGCTTTTGCTCTAAAGAACAACAGGAAAGTGTGTAAGAAGAATGGACTAAATTAAGTTCACACTTGCACCTTCTTTGTGTTTTTCACATCATCATTCAAGAGTAATTTTCTGCAGATCATCATGTATGCTCATTCAGTTATTTGGATTGTCTTCCTCTCTCCTTTCTTTCTGTGTTTGTCTCATCTGCATTGCAAAGAAGTTACATGGTGGACATGTGGGGTCAGCGGAGCAGGCAGATAACACCGTTGACATATAATCAACAACAAAATGATCTCATCATAAAGCTTTAACTCTGGGCATAAAAGATTGAGCCAACATCGACATGCCAAATTCTGATAGGTCACTTCAGGCTCTTACTCCAAAGACAAGTCAGTCTTAAAGATGTTTCGCTTAAAAGTAAAATAAATAACTGGTTTGTAATAAATAGCTTCTTTTTTTTTTTTTACCCCTTGTTATTCCTCCAACGGGCCGGACGTCAGGACCGAACCGAAAACCTTGACCAAATACTGTGCTGTTACAAAATGTTGTATAGTCAATATGTAATGTTTATAGATGTTTTATAAACCATCTCTTAAATGTTTACAGATTATTTGGTAATCAATAAAAAAGATATAGTGTATAACATGGTATAATGTGCAACAATAAACTGTTAACATAACTTATAGCATTACAGATAATTCGCACACATTATTAATTATAACTACAGTTTAATTAGCTATATATTTACTCTTTACTGATGATGTTTATTATAAAGTTTTACCCAAACATCCAAACATGTTATCCTTAAAATGAAGGTGCATGGAGACAGCAACACTTCCCAACAGCATTTCTTTTAAAAGCAGTCCAAAAAAGTGTAATAACGGTGGCTACAAAAACACTTCTTAAATAGCATCTCTATGATTTATGGTAGAAAGCTTTTGTCTATTTAGACAACCAGCAGAGGTAAAAACACCATTAGCATCTATTTGGTGTTCAGTTTATGGGATATCTAAGAGACCTCTTTGCTAAAAGCTAACTGCTAACTCCCAGGAATATAGATGCTTTTTAGCTGCTTAATAGGTGGTGGGGAAAAAAATAGTTTTATGTAAAAATCAAGACTTTTATCTTCTGAGATTTTAAATAGATTTATAACTTCCAAAAATCAAAGCTAAGTGCTAAGGCTCGCTCTTTAACTCAAATGGAGCAGCAAGACATTCAGCCAGTCTCTCAGATGACTGGAGTAGATCCTGAAGTAAGTAGGCCTACTCATTCAAAAATATACTTTGAATCATGAATCGTTTTGAATCGAAAATGTATTCTGAATCGAATCCTGACCCCAAGAATTGAAATCGAATCGGATCGTGAGACGCCCAAAGACTCCGAGCACTACAATGTAAGATAACCAGGTATCATTTGATGTTAATGGTACAAGATTAAAGGACATGGCACTTCTGTAATTACCCTCAAAATGAACACTGGAAAGCTTAGCGATCCTCCAACAAGTTTCTTGGCAACACATCTAACAGCTGCTGAGGGATTTCAATAAAGGGAATCACCAAAGGGCTGACTAACTGACGGGCAATGCCTTCCCTTGAGCTGTGTTGCTTGCAAGGCTAAATATCAAGTTTTGTTGACCTTATTTTGCTGATTTTGTTAATCTGTCGGCGTACTTTCTGGCCTGAATGAACTGAGAAGAAAAAAAAAAACATTGCTCTCTCTCTGTCTTTCTCTCTCAGTCGCTCACACCCACACTGAAACAGCTTATTCAAACAATGGCAGGTGACATAATAATTCGAGGGAGGGGGGAAGGGAGGGATGATGGAGGCCATTCAGTCATGTACAGTATGAGGCCCCTGGCTGGCTGCTAATGAGCGCTGGCCCCATTCTGCCTCAGCATACACACAACAGGAACAAGAACTCCCCCTCAGCTACATTGTAACACTCAGTCGCTGGAATAAAGCACAGCGTAGTCAACCTCTCAGCTGCATTGTTATACTTCATTCAGCCATCTAAATTGCACTTTACAGTTTCTTGTATACTTCTACACAAAAAGCCCTCTGGATCCTGAAATACAGGATTGTTACTCATACATAGAGGACTGTAGGAACGTACTATTAAAGAATAATACAGAACGGTCGGGAGGCGATGAAATACCTGATTCAATCCCTCAGGGAAGGAAACATTAAATGGCACTTTAACAATCACTTTACTTAAACTCTCTGTTTATCTGAACACTTTATACCAACTACTGTAACTGAACAGCATGTGGAAAGCATTTCTCACTTTCTCAGTGTTTGTGTACCCTTCATTGCTTCCACACAAGACTATTGTGGTTGAACTACAGAATACAAGATCACCTTTTTCAAAGGTAACAACTTGTCTTCTTACAGTACGGAGAAGGTGAAGCTCCTAAAATGAGTTTCAAAAAAGATCAACCACTGAAAACTTAGTCCGATGGGCCTAACTGACACGATCAATTCAATGTGCGGTCGGCTATTTTTTTTGGATTTCTGCACACATCAAACGCTCTTTTTAACTCTTTTGGAAGAGTTAGGGTGGCAGCGGTTGCTATGTAGTGAGACCGTCAGAAGTCTAATCCCATTCTTTTCGCATTTGTACGCCGCCGACGAAGCAGCCACAACTGAGCCGCCCCAGTAAGAGTGTAGAGAGAGAGCAATGCTTTGTTCATTTATCAGTACAATGAATGTGATCACTGAACAATCATGTTAAATCAACACACTTAGTAGCCCCTAGGGTACCGCTTATGAGCAAGTTCATGCTTTTGGACGGAGACTGCTCATGTTGGATTAGTGAGTAAAAATATTCATTTTCCAATTT